ATTTTAAAATTTTTTTTTTTATTTTGTTTAAATTTTGTGTTTTATTTTTTTTTAATATATAACTGATAAATGTTATATAAAAGTTTAAAGAAAATTTCCAAAAAAATATTCTTATAATAGTTTGGAAAAATTCGCAAAAATTTTAAGTACATAAATATGTATGTAGTATGTATATTTTTTTTAAAGCTTACTGAGGAATTTTTTTTAAGCTTTCTATGAATGTATATATGAATATATGTGTGTATGTATATATGAATGGATTAGAATTGAAGATTTTAAAATTTTTCGTTCCAACATATGAACGTATGTACATATGAATGTATTAGAATCGAAAATTAAAAAAGAAACAAAAACAAAATAATAATTTATGTATGTAAAAATATATGTATGTATGTATATATGAATACATGTGTGTATGTATGTATATATGAATGGATTAGAATTGAAGATTTTAAAATTTTTCGTTCCAACATATGAACGTATGTACATATGAATGTATTAGAATCGAAAATTTTGAAATTTTGCTGTTGGAAAAATTAGAAATAAAATTATTAACACAAACACACGTTATTATAAATGTATACCTAGTTTTTTTAAAACTGCGGAGTGAACATATAGAAATAAATTTCTCAAATAAAGAAAAGGTTTAGGTTAAAATAAAATAATAATTGTATTCAAATATATATATGTACATATGAATGTAATTTTTTTAAATAAAGAAAAGGTTTAGGCAAAAACAAAATAATAATTTTATTCAAATATATGTATGTATATATAAATGTATTAAAATTTAGCATTTTACAGTTTTCCGTTTGGAACAATAAAAATAAAATTCTAACTACATACGTACATACATATATTCTGTATGTACATATATTTTTTTAAAGCTTGCTGACGAAACGTAATGTTCAAAACAATAACAAATGAAATATTAATATTCAGATGTCACAAAACATCTGATGTCTGATAAAAGCTGACATTTATTTACGTTAAGATTAATTCGTTTATCCGCAACAAAAATATGTGAGATCATTATATTTTCAAATATTATTTATTTCTCGGTTTGTGTTTTTAATAATAAAAATAACGTAAAACGTATCATTTATTTCTTGGTTTGTGTTTCTAATTATAAAAAGTATAAAAAGAAAAACGTGCTTTTGTTATACAAAAATTTTTTCAGAAAATCTTAAAATAGAGCTATTTCGGGGCTAAAAAGTTCCAATGTCAGATTTTTCTGGGACCCCTGGAGGCAAAACTCTATCTAATGCCTTTTGTTCCATGTCTCTAGCCCTTCTAGAAGTACCCGTACTTTTTACCACCTGAGAAGTAGCTATATATATATAATGTAAAATATGATGGTTTTTTGATGAGTTATACGATATATGAATAAAATATAGAATTATTAAGGGAAATTCAAGGTACTGCGTAGCCTAGTGGTTAGAGTGGTAGTCTCATAGCCAGAAGGTTATTGGATCAATGCTTGCCTGGATGTTGTATTTTTCTTTTTTTTGGATTATTTTAAAATTTTTTTTTTTATTTTGTTTAAATTTTGTGTTTTATTTTTTTTTAATATATAAGTATAAATGTTATATAAAAGTTTAAAGAAAATTTCCAAAAAAATATTCTTATAATAGTTTGGAAAAATTCGCAAAAATTTTAAGTACATAAATATGTATGTAGTATGTATATTTTTTTTAAAGCTTACTGAGGAATTTTTTTTAAGCTTTCTATGAATGTATATATGAATATATGTGTGTATGTATATATGAATGGATTAGAATTGAAGATTTTAAAATTTTTCGTTCCAACATATGAACGTATGTACATATGAATGTATTAGAATCGAAAATTAAAAAAGAAACAAAAACAAAATAATAATTTATGTATGTAAAAATATATGTATGTATGTATATATGAATACATGTGTGTATGTATGTATATATGAATGGATTAGAATTGAAGATTTTAAAATTTTTCGTTCCAACATATGAACGTATGTACATATGAATGTATTAGAATCGAAAATTTTGAAATTTTGCTGTTGGAAAAATTAGAAATAAAATTATTAACACAAACACACGTTATTATAAATGTATACCTAGTTTTTTTAAAACTGCGGGTGAACATATAGAAATAAATTTCTCAAATAAAGAAAAGGTTTAGGTTAAAATAAAATAATAATTGTATTCAAATATATATATGTACATATGAATGTAATTTTTTTAAATAAAGAAAAGGTTTAGGCAAAAACAAAATAATAATTTTATTCAAATATATGTATGTATATATAAATGTATTAAAATTTAGCATTTTACAGTTTTCCGTTTGGAACAATAAAAATAAAATTCTAACTACATACGTACATACATATATTCTGTATGTACATATATTTTTTTAAAGCTTGCTGACGAAACGTAATGTTCAAAACAATAACAAATGAAATATTAATATTCAGATGTCACAAAACATCTGATGTCTGATAAAAGCTGACATTTATTTACGTTAAGATTAATTCGTTTATCCGCAACAAAAATATGTGAGATCATTATATTTTCAAATATTATTTATTTCTCGGTTTGTGTTTTTAATAATAAAAATAACGTAAAACGTATCATTTATTTCTTGGTTTGTGTTTCTAATTATAAAAAGTATAAAAGAAAAACGTGCTTTTGTTATACAAAAATTTTTTCAGAAAATCTTAAAATAGAGCTATTTCGGGGCTAAAAAGTTCCAATGTCAGATTTTTCTGGGACCCTGGAGGCAAAACTCTATCTAATGCCTTTTGTTCCATGTCTCTAGCCCTTCTAGAAGTACCCGTACTTTTTACCACCTGAGAAGTAGCTATATATATATAATGTGAATATGTTATATGATTCATATACAAAATATAATAAATTATATACGAACAAATTTATAAACATAATTTGCAAATATGTACCTATAATTGATAAAATTATTTTACTGTGATAATATCAAGGTAAATCTTACAAGTTATACTATAATAGCCATATAAGAACCAAAAGTTTATGTTACATTTAAGACGAGATTTATCTTTCTTCTTACGAGAGGAGCTATCTGTGATTGTTTATGGTCATTTGCGTTATATTTCTGTGAAAAATATAGAAATATACAGAAAAATTGAAGGATTCTTCTTGAAGAAGAAATCAATTCGAAACCAATTAATTAAATCTTAAAAATTAAAAATTTTTAAAACCATTCAGAAATTGAAACTACTGCGACATCTATATTTGTAATTCAAGTGCCAAATTCTGAAAACGGCAGCTCTCAATATTCCTTATTATTCATTCTAAGTTTTTAATTGTAGATTCTTACAGTTCTTAACCAATTTGAGAATGTGCAAACTCGAATAAATATTTTAATTTTAATAAAAATATATAGAGAAAAAATTGATGGGAAAACAATATTGATTTTTAAAAAATTAAGAAAATATTTAAGACGCATAAAAAAACAAATAATTTTATATTCTTAATTTAAAAATAAGAATAAAAGAAATGTATTGCCAGATTATATTAATTAATGTGTTTATACCCTATACACAACAAAAGTTAACAAAACTAAATACTTATACCTAGCTATCAATTAGGCATACTCGCTTTTTATGATTTAGATTTATATTCGAACTTAAGTATTTTCGAAATGAAATTTGTGAAAAATGTAAATTTTCTTAATTTAATATTATATAATAACACTGTTTTTAATATTCCAGTTTAGCAACCATTTAACATAAATCACTAAAAAATTTTTAGTAAAAATCAAATGAAAATTACTTTATTGTATACATACACAAAAATTATATTGGATAAAATAATTTTATTGGGTATGGGGTATAAAATGCCGTAAAAATTATATGTAGGTAAATTTTGCAGGTGTAGGTCTCTGACCCAGACGATTGAGCCAATAAATGTATACGTTACATGTATACATACATATATGAAGACGATATTTGAAATATGTGCTGTAATGTGAATATAGTTGATAGTATTATTTGATTTTAACAAAAAAATACACGAAGATAAAGCGCAAAAATTACTATAATACTGATGACAGATAGTAATAGCTTTTAAACATGTAAATCTGTATCTATTAATGGAATCAAAATGTAAAAATATACGAAAAAGAAAAAAAAAACATATTACTATTATAAGATTAGATTTTATTTAAAAATTGTCTTCTTTTGTTTATATTCATTTTCGTCTTTTTTGATGTACAGCTGCTCTGCTTTACTATTATATAAAAAGGAGTGTCAAAATGATCAGAAAGTAGTAAATTACAATCAGATATTATAATTATATTTTTAATTAAATATATTAATCAATAAATAAATTAGATAAAAATCTAAATCATTATACATTTCACATAATAAAGAGAGAGATGTCAAAAAGAGATGTCAAAAATTTTAAAAATTTATGGTTATGTTTTATGCATTAAATATTGTAATAAGTTGAAATGAAAAAAAACAATAATAATTAGAAATATATAAATTTCTAAATGTTATCAATAAAAATATTGCAATTTCTTTATTAAAAAATTAAAATATCGTTTAATTAAATTTTTTTTTATTTGGTACTCATTTGACTTGGTGTATTCAAAAATACACAGCAGGCTTTTTCATTTAGTTTTATAAATTTAATTCGTAATTGACAAGCAAATCAAAATTTATTTAATTACTTTTACTAAACCAGGGTACCTAAACGCAAATCTGACAGTTACATATATGACTTATTTAGCCTTAGCTATACAATTTAATTGATTCAATAATTAAATGTTCTACAATGTTTTTGTAGCATTTCTGTCGCTGTTGAAGTGATTAATATGTAACTGATTGACATATTTACTGTCATTTAAAAATTTAGAAGTGAAATACCATCAATTAAAATAATATAAAATGATCCAATATGAAAAACAAATTTGTTATACAATGAAAGTTCTTCAAAAACACTTTATATTTAAATTTTAATTGATTTCTCTGTTTTTTGTAGGACCGAATACTGGAAATCAAATGAAAGAAAATATTGTGATTATTGCAAATGTTGGATTACAGATAACAAAGCGGTAATCATTTAAATTTTATTATAAAAAAAATTTTTTCAATTCATCTTATTTTATAATTGTGTTTTTCCAATTTCTATTTCTTAATTTAGTTTATATGTATGTTTTGACGCTGTTATCTTTTTAGAGTGTTTCATTTCACGAAAATGGAAAACGTCATAAAGCTGCAATTGCAAATCGGATATCCGAAATCAGTCGAAAAACTGCTAAAGAGGAAAAAGAGAAAAACAAAGTCGATCATGAATTGAGGAAAATGGAAGAAGCAGCTTTAAAAGCTTATGCTACAGATATTTCAAATAAAGCTGATATAACAGGTCAAACATTACAAAATTTAACCAGTTCATATAAAGAGAGCCCTGCTAGCACTTCGACAAACGTAAGACAACCAATTGGGCAAGTAGATCCATTACGTTTACCCGATGATTTAGTTTATGATGAAAGAGATCCAAAAGTATTGAAAAAAGCTATTATTGAACCACCTGAAAATCAATCATTATGGGTAGAAGGTATGCTTTTTGTTTTTGTTTTTTAAATATTTGCTAAATATACATACGAATACAATGTATATTTTATGTATTTAAAAAAACATAGATAAAGTACTAAAATATTATTCCTAAAGGAAAATCTGAAAAAGGTTTTACATACTATTGGAATGTTAAAACTTACAAATCAGTATGGGAAGCACCAAAAGAAGGTTATATGAAACTTGAAGAATATGAGAGACTAAATGAAATTGCAAAAAAACAACAAGAAAATCAGTATGCTTTAGAAGCTAAGAATTTTCGAGAAAACGTTGATGAGGAAGTGGCCCGTTATAATCGAGAAAAAATGAAAAAATTTAGAAAAAATGACGGTGAAGAAAAACGTAAAGAAATTGAAGAGAAACGTACAAATTATGTTACTCAAGAAGAAGCATCAACAAGTAAAATTGGATCTTGGCAAGTTGTAGAAGAAAAGTAAAAATATTAAATTTCTTTTTTGTTTTTGGATTCTCATAAAATTTATTTTCAGAAAACCCGAACTATACGTTGATTTAGAATTACCTAAAGTAGAACAAAAGTGGATACCACCTGTTTTTTCGAAAGATTCTTTTGAGCCACCAGCAGAAAAAAGATTTAAAGAAAAAACAATAGGATCTCTAGAACCCAGCCTAACTGTTGGTCTGCCAGTATCTTTTAATAAAAGAAAAATACCAAAAGGTTCTGTTCGAAAAAGACAAAACGATGATTAAACAAAAAGAAAACTTATAATTTTTGTGAATTAAATTAAAATAGGAATTTACAATCTAATAAAAAATTGTATTTAATTTTTAATAAAAAGTGAAAGAAAAAAGAAAAATCATTTTTGTTGAGATTTAATCTATTTTGTCATAAGTATAATCATTTACGAATTTCGAAAAAACAATTTCTTCATACAAGTATGCAAAAACATTTTGTTAAATTAATTTATTTTTAATACGAACTCTTCTCACTCGAAAATTAAATTATACAAATAACGTATATAATAGTTACTTACTTTCTCCTCACTTGGCGAGTAAAATAACGGAATATGTACACGATCAAACTCTTAAGTATCTTCGTTTGTAGTATAGCTTAAAAGTGATAGTAATGTACAGCGATTTCGCCAATAAGTTATCATTTCATTCTCCTTTTAAATAAATTTCATCGCTTTTAATTCTTAATCATGATTGTCAATTTTTGCAATCAATCTTAGTCACCTTGTACTTCACTTTCTTTCGAAAAAGACACAAAATCAATGAAACATTTTTTCTATTCCTTATTGCTTTTTAATTATTTTTAAACATTTTGTAATAATTACCATAATATTTTTTATGAATATGTTAAAAAATTTAATGAGCATCGGTTTAACATTTGCGTCTAACATTTCAAATTGGATTTATCAGCATCAGTTTTAATTTTAGATATTTCAAAATTGACATTTCTGTAGTTTTGTGTGATATGTACAAAAAAACTTTTTATTTTTGACAAAACTCACATGCAAAAAATGTGAATAACACTATGAGTTTTGACTTTTGACACTTCACTTGTAAATTACCCTGTATTGTTGAAGTTGACATATTTTATAAATTTAATTTGAATTTTTTAACCACTTGTTTTCAGTTGAAACTAAATGGTTTATAAAAAACAAAATACATAAAAAAACTTCACCTTTTTAATTTCTTTTTAAAAATGACAAATTCTTTGGACCCAAGGGAAGTACTAATGTGTTTGAACGACATGGGTTATCGAAACATAACCAGCACACAGTTAAAAGAATTCATTAAAGGTATGTAAATAATATTTAAATGCATTAAATAATTTAATATTACAATATAATAAATATATCCAGATCTTCGCAAGTTGATAAAATATGAGGAGCAATTCTGTTCGAACCATAATGAAGCACACAAAGAGCAAAATAAAGATTCAAAAGTTAAATTTGACAAAAACTCTAATCGTAGGGGTTTACATAGGAATAATTCAGCTCCAGTTGCGACAGCAAAAACCATATCAGAAAATGAAATAGACAAAACGATTAGAAAAGATTTAAAACTTAGAAGACGAGAATGCGAAAATAAAACGAGCCTATATATAGACGGCACTTCTTTGAATCATTTAGAAAAAGACAAAACATGTAAGGGAAGTTTGCAAAGAGGCGGTTGTGAAAAAGAAAGACTTCAGACCAAGTTAAAACAAAGTGAAGAAATCAATTCTGCCAGAACTTGTAGTAAGAAATCTTTAATAGAATATGTGAATTTATTAATAAAATATAAAATTGTGTTTAGGAACGAAAAGTGCTAGGGGGATTAAAGAAAATGACCCAGTTGAACTCTACCAGTATTACAAAAGGGAATGGGAACGTTTTAAAAAAAATTTTCCCGGCGAAAACTCTCATAGCGAATTACGATCTAGTATTAAAAGAAAACTTTTAGTTACTAAAGGAAAAAATATGTCGTAAACTATGAATATAGATTGTCCTATTTAGAAAAATTTATTGAAATAAGTAAAATACAAAATTTAATTTTATTGCTGATCTACTTTAAATTTCTTAGATAATTGTTTAATATCCGAACGTTTCATGTGAAAAAGTAGTTTCTCCTCAATTTTTTTGGTTGCAGCAACTGTCATGACTAAAGTTTCATACTTTAAAATAGAATAAACATTTAAACCATAATGGGGCATCAAAGTTATGTAACTCATAGGGTCTGTCGCATAACAAATATCTTCTGGGAATTCATTACTGTAAATTAAAAATAATTTAGCTAATCAAGTTTCAAGGTATATTTTTCCATAGAAAAAACAAAATATTCAACTTACAAATCTACAAGCAATACTGATGGTCCCCAATTACGTTCGCTGCACAAATCTTTAAAAAATTGTGGATCTCTTGTAGGAATTTGAAAATTTTCGACAAAATGTAAGTCATCTTGTGCAAATTTAACAGATAGTGCAGCTGTTAAACCTAATACGCGAGTAGTAAATGGGAGCATGTAAAAATGTGTTGTTGGTGAACGAGGACCGTGCGCAATACCACCGCCTTTAAATAATGGTGATCTGATGGAACCTATTTTAATAGAGATTTTTATTAAAACCATGAGAATACGATAAAATAAAAAGTATATCTTACCATGTCTGGCTCTTCCTAAACCTTTTTGAGGCCATGGCTTTCGTCCACCACCACGTACTTCGGCTCTGGTTTTAGTATGCGCAAATGATACAAATCTATACTTTCGTTGCCATTCAACATTTTCATGAATAACATCTACTCGAGGCTTCTCAGCGAAAACTTTTGGATCTAATTCGATTAAGTTTACTTTTTTCTCCTCAACTGTGTTACAATTTTCAACCCATGCTTGGCGTGGTCGAAGTATTGTGGAATAATTTCTATTTTGAAAAGAATCAAAGCAAAATAAATTGCTTTTACATACCAATTTTTGATTTAATTTATTAGAAGGATTAAGGAAGTTATATAGGTAATTACTAATTCTAGACATATTTTTATTTTTTAGTTTTTAAAGATTTTATTTTGATTTGAAAAACCTAACCAAAACAAAAACAGCCGACTGTCTTTTGTCAGAAAAATTTAACGACTGTCACTTAAGACGCTACATTGACTTCGTCATATTGCAGAGTCATTTTCAAAATTTTCATTATGTGTAATACTGAGTGAGAGTTTACATTAGCAATTTTTTGATAAGAAATGTTTTTATAATGAATGCTAATTGTCATTTAATTTTTACAAAATGTCAAATAACTGAATAAAATGAGGTAGGAAAATGTATTTTTTACAATTATTTTTGAGTAATCGATTCTATTTACGTATATGCACACATATAAATTTATATAATAAGTTTGTGCACGTACTATGTTGTAATACAGTGTTTTCCATTTTTGTTGCTGTCAAAAAATTAGTAACTGAACTACGCAATTAACAATAAATTTTTTGACATTTGTTTCGTTGAAATATTTTCAGGGTATGTGTAAGTTTTGAATAGATCAGTATGTACCAACTCATATATTTTAAGGAATAATAAGTTCATTTCATATAAGTTGTCAGACACACATCATTTTCTACTTTAATTTGATAAAAGTTTTATTTTTTTGTAATTTTTAAATTTCTTTCAATCACTCAAAATTTTATACGAAAGAAAAATAAAATAAATTTGTATTTTAAAATAATTTAATTATAAAGATATTTTTAATTGATAAGTATAAATTACTGCGTATTACCAACAAATATTAAAAGTTTATTTTTTGAAATAATTGCGTTGCTAAATTTGAAATAGAGCTAATAAATTATAAATTTACGTAGAATATTTGAAAATATAAAAAAAATTTTTAAAATTTCATAAAATATTTGAAAAACACAAAAAAATTAAAAAATTTGAATAATTGAATGAATGAATTTTATTTCTTTATGAAAGAACTATTATTAAATACTAATGGATAATGGGGATTTGTTTGGATACAGGTAAGAATTAAAAAAATAATTAATTTATTGATGAATTATCATAAAAAAATGCAATATTTTTTAATAAAATTTTTAATATATAAATTTATCAAAATCGCAAAAATTTAATTTTAATTTTTAATCACATTTTTTAAAGAAATTTATTCATTTATTTCTAACATACCTAATAAAAAATTTCAAATTGTTAATTTCTGGCTCGTAAGTTCAGAAATTGAAAAAATTGATAGTTTAACACACAGCCACACACTATATGTGTATATAGTGTTGTTTGTAAACATTGAACTTGAATATCTACATAAATATGTATATGTTTGTACATATATAATGTTATTAAGTATGTATGTATGTATATACATATATTTATATAAAAGTAAGAATATAATAAGTAAATATATCATACCCATTATGTATAAAAATATAGTTATAATAATATTATAGGGTACTATCATAAATTAAAACGTTTTCAATTATTAATGATCAATGAAACATATAATAATAATTGTCAAAAATTTTTATTATTTATTTCCAAAATTAGGTTAGAAAATTTTTGTTTTATTTTTGAAATATTAAATTATTTGTTTTTTTTTTTTTTTTGATACTATTTTAATCCTTATAATATATTAAAATTTTATTATTATTTTTAGTTATATTAAAATTGTTTAACAGTTAATAGTAAATTTTTGAAATTGAGCGGATATCAATAATTTTTTATTTGTTTTTGAAAAAAAAAAAAAAATATCCACCAATGTTACGAAATAAAATACAATTATTATTAATATGAAAAATATTGCATATGTTTAGGCTTATATTAATAATAATTCAAGTAGAATTAAATTGTGTTCATAATAAAGTGGTGTGTGTGGCAATTAAAAAATGGAAAATTGGTTAAAAAGTTTATTTAATAGAAATTGTTTAAATGCAGGTAACTTTTAAAAAATTTTCTTTTTTTTTCTTGGAATGAATTATTAAATGAATTTCATCGAATTATTTGAAAAAGTTTTATTAACAAAAAATTCTTACATACGATACATATACCATATACGAGTAATTATAATGCTTGAACGGTGTTGTACAGAAATAATTAATTAAATTAATTTTTTTTTGTAATATTTCTCTAATAAAATCCGATTTATTATTTGGGAAATATGAAATTTTGTATAAAAACTGTTATCTTACCTTACATATGATACTGGAAATTATTTAATTCGAAGATTCCAGAAGGTATTACTCATAATTTTTTAAGTTAATTTAATTACATACATATGTATGTATCATGGATTTTAATTTGGATTCGTAAAAGGAGAATATAAGATTTAAATATTATATAATATATATATATATATATATATATATTAAAAATATTTCATTAATTTCTACTAAAACAACTCATTGACACGCTTTTGCTTTTCGATAAATTTTAATATTACTTGAACGATTAAATCTTATGAATAAAACCGCGTGATTAAAAATTTCAAAATATTATGTAATTTGTAGTATGTATGTGTGTATATTTAAGTGTTTTTTTAGATCTTTAACCTGTTAGTTTAAAGACATTTTTGTATATGTATATGTATGTAAATTATTTTAAAATTTCTTCCGATAATTAAAAATATTTGAAATTATCAAAAAAAATATTCTTTTTTTTTTTTTTTTATTATTAATATTAAGTACCCATTCCGTATATAAAAAGGAATTAAATATTTTAGAAATTTTTTTAACGACCTATAATTTTAAATTTTATATATTTCTGGTCACGAATGTTGATTTAAACTTTAGGTATTGTAGATGAGTTCATGAAAAATATACCTTGTAAATTTTCTACAAGGTGTAATTTTTAATATTCAATACAGACATATACACATTTTCTTGAAAACATCAAAGGACACAGAAAAGAATTTTTTTTTTTTTATTAAACTCCATGTTATGTGTTATAAAAATTAATAATAACAATTTCTTTTTAATATTTTAAGATTCAAGTGAACCAGAAAATTCCGAAGAGAATTCACGTTGGAAAGGAACAGAAAAAAATTCAGACCAAATAGAAACTATAAGTGATGCAAATATATTAAATAGAAATACCGATAAAATAAAATTTGATCCCCCAAAAGTGCCAGTAATATTTGTCTTAGGTAATTTAAATAAATTGATAATATGAAATTAATTATTCATATATGAATATATGAATGTGTTTTAGGTGGGCCTGGTAGTGGTAAGGTAACTCACTGTGATACATTAATGCAAGAAAGGCGTGGAGTTGTACATATAAATATGATGGATTTATTACAACAGTATGCTATGGGAAATGGTAAATATATGTTATTGAATTCTATACTCATAATAATTCTATTTAAAATGATCATTTAAGTTGAATGTAAATTCTAAATGTAAAAATCTAAATTCTAATATGATAGTAATTGGTCAAAATTTATAATATTTTATAATATGGATCATTTTAAATAGAAATTTTACATTATTTATGGAGTATTTTTTAAATAATTTAGTTAGATGTTCTTTTAGATTTGCAAGATTTCTCACAATTATCATCAAAAACTGTGACCGAAGTATTGATGCTTGAAATGAAAATGGCTCCAGCTGCAAAGGCATATTTAATATCTGGTTATCCAAGATCAATGAGAGATGTCGTTGAATATTCTGAAAAAGTATTTTGAATTTATTTTTTTTTAATTAATATTATATTTTGATTTTTTTTGTTACTTTTAAGATTCAAGTAATTAATGGAGCAATATTAATATCATGGCGGCAATCAGTTCTTCAAAAGCAAATTGATTATGGTGCAAAACTTGGACATGTTGTATTGTCTTTGGCAAAAATGGAATTAGATAATTTTTTCAAAAATGTTATGCCAGTAGCTGATTATTTTGATCAAAGTGATATTCTTGTTGCCATTAATGGAGAAAGATCTCCAGCTGAAGTTTATAAAGATTTTCAAACAGCAGTTTTAGATATACTTAATGCTTTGGAAAATCAAGAAGCAATTTTAAATGGTGTTTCTGGAATGGGTAGAGGTGCGAATGATATCCCAGGTAGTATAGTTAGTGTTGAAACTGCACCAAGCCAAGAAAATAATACAAATAAAATGATAGATCCGCTACCGAATGAAAACCCCAACGAAAATACTATTGCAACAAATACAAATTCTAATATATCTAACTTACCAATGCCACCATGTATATTTGTAATAGGAGGTCCAGGTAGTAATAAAGCGGCTCTATGTGCAAAACTTGCAGCACATGATTTAAATTTAGGACATATAAGGTAAATATTATGTTATAATTAAATATTTGTTTTTCAAAATTAACTTGAATTATATTATAATTTTTAATATAGTATTGGAAGATTGTTACGAGAAATTTCTGATTCGGAACCACGTGCTAATTCGGAAGGTTATACAATAAAAGAAGCTTTAACTGTAGGTGAAATGGTGCCTGCGTCAATAGTTGAAACAATATTAGAAAATAATATAAACGAAATTAAAAATAAAAGAGCTATTATAATTGATGGCTATCCCAGAAATATGGAACAAGCTAACTTATTTGAGAAGAAGGTAAATAACTTTCTTTTTAAAAATTTTAAATGAATATAAAATTTTTATTTTATATTTTTAGTACAAACAAAGACCACCAGTTATTTTATTAGATTGCTCGAAATTGCAATTAGGTCGAGGACGATTGGATGATACGGTATCATCATTTCGTCGACGCTTAGAATTATTTCGTGAGGAGACATTACCGATGCTAAAGCAATTGGATAGTATACGACGTTTAACAATTGTAAGTATTAGATTAGCCGTAGAACTCTCACTTATACAAGACTAAAAATTAAAAATGTATGCTATGATCTCAAAATTATTATTGCAACTATTGAAATCTACTTAAATTTACAATATTTTTTATCATTGTAGGAATTTTGCATAATCAATTAAAATATTATCGTATAAGAAACAATTTCTTAACAATTTCTTAAGAAAACCAAAGCAAAATCCCGTCATTTAAACACCTACATATGAAATAATTTAAGTTTGAAATTTATGTAATTATTAATTCAATAATTATGGGTTTTATCAATTGAATTCCTATCAAATTTATTATATTTTAACTGAACTTCTATAGAAGTATTAGTAGTTAACGTCTTTATTCTACTTCATTCCACAATAAAAAAGCTTTGTCTTATATGATAAAGCTTTCTTTTTAAAAATATCTTTTGAATATTAGAAGGTTGTAACTTGTTTAACTGAATATTTTCGAAGGATATATTTTTATCAATTAACTTATTTCTTATAAGAAGCTTCTGATTAAAATTTAAAAAGGACAAATATTATTATTGTCCTTCAACTCTTTTTCAAAGCTTAATTGAATTTAAAACAATCAATAATAATGGGTTATAGTTATTAATTTTTTATTGACAAAAATTTCAAGGCGTAGAATTGTTATTTCTAATTTACGTGTAATGTAATCTGATATTTTTTACTTTTTTAATATGAAGCTTTCAAGGGTTTTATTTTTAATTGAAAAATTGTGAATACTTTTATTATTTACACTAGTGTAATTTAAAATTGTTATAATTTTATTATATATTTTGGACATGAAATTATATATAAGAGGAAAATTTTCATCAAACTTATTATTTTTATGTTTAGAAAGTCTAATTTTCAATATACCATCTCTTATATTTTATATTGCAAGGTCAGGGTATTTGGTTTACAATACACAATACTAAAGATTTGCTAAATATGTAGTTTTGCATAAAACATTCGATTTCATGAACAGCAAAAATTAGACCAAATGCAATTGCCAAGTTTTGTTAATATACAACAGATGTGTGTAAAATGATCAATGCGTGTACTATACTAATAATGGAATTATTCACCTGAAATTTTCCCGAACCGGAGATTCTTCTATTTTCAATTTGTGTTTTATTAAATAAGTTTGTTTAATTAAATTCAGAGCAAAACTTAACCTATTTAAATAGGTTAATAACTACGGGTCATTAATTTTGGTTCTCAAGCTCTTAATAAATTCCTCTTAATTGCAATTGCTCTTATATGAGTTCATATAATAAAATATTGAAAATAAAAAATCTATTTCAACTTTGAATTTTTCAGAAAATGTTTAATTTTACATTCAATTATTCTTATTTTTTAATTTGTTTTATATTTTTAGGTTGATGGCGATACAGATAGTTTAACAGTTCAAACCGAATTCGAAAATGTTATTAAAGAACATATAAAAAATCTTATTATTAATAATAATTTACAAGGTTCATCATCATCATATACATCATTTTCTCAATCAATAAGGAATGCAAATGATATTATTCAGGAAGAAAATGTGCCTGGTACAGTGCCAACAATTAGCCATCAAATTAGCTTACAAAATGGTGATATTGGAAAACCAATACATAAAAATTTATATAATAAAACCAGTTCATCAGGTTATATGAATGGACAAATAATGAATGGTGGTAGAGAACATTATAATCAAAGGATCAATAATACATCAAATGCTAATTATTCTGAAAGTTATATGTAATTAAAATTATATTGAATAATTTTTGTTACAAAAAAAAAAAAAAAATTTTTTTTAAAATACAGTAAAATTTTGATATAATGAATTTTCTTGTAATTTTTATATAAAATTAATTAATTTGTAATAATGTTTTCAATTGTATGCATTTTGAATTTTTTTTTTTAATACATTAAAAATAAATATTTTCAAATATAAAAATTAAATAAGTTTTAAACAATATATTTTGCTTTCGCATACGATATTAATTAATTTTTTGTCTTTTTTAATTAATTTATAAATTATTTATTATTTAAATTTATTATTTAAAATTTTTGATACTAAAAAATTTATCACTTCTAATAATTTCAATAATTTTTTGTACACTTAAGAGATTTCATTTTATTAAAGTTTTACTGTATTAAAAATATTTAGTAAATAATAACGATTTATTAATTTTAATAATTAGTAATATAAAAGACATCAATTTTCTGGTAAAAGTATTACTCATAAAAAAAAGATTAATTACAATAATAAAAACCAAAAAAAAAAACAAAATTATTGAAAAACAAATAAAAATTTCAATAAAATTTTATTACTAAGTAAAACAAAACAAATTAAAAAATTCTAATAAATATTTTTAAATAATTGTACCTAGTACTTAATTAAAATAATATAATTTTTACACATTATGAGAATGCCATGATGATATGCATTATTATATACAATATTATATATATATATATATATATATAAAAAAACAATAAAATAAATTTAAGAAAGAAATAAAAATTGAGCTTTAAAATAATTTATTTAAAATAAAAATTTATTTATATAATATTTGATATCAATATAAAAATTATAATATTAATTAATAAAGAAACGATGTAAAACACCTTAAAATTATTGTTAAATTTTAAGATTTTAATATTAAATACATATCAAATGTAGCATTGGCTGATTATAAGAGTTATAAGAACAAAAAAAAAAAAAGAAAACAATATATGTATACATCGTATTTAAAAATTAAAATAAAATTAAATAATATTTATTATAAATGTTTTTGAAAATGACAAAAAAAAAAATTTTAATTTTGTACTTTTACTAATTTACGAGAGTCAAAATAAAGAAAAATTTCGTATTAGATACAAAAAAAAAACAAAATTAATATTAGTTTTTAATTTTATTGAATTAAATAAAAATTTTGTGAAAAAATTAGGAAAATTTAAATTAAGGTGACCCTTAAGCTGAATTTTTCTTAAATATTTGGGCTACGAATTGTTTACAAACAATTTAGGGTCTAATCGTTTATTTCGGTATTTTAAACGTTTATCTCGGATAACGTGTAACTATCATATACTTGTATAATGTAATTTTCGAGTGCGAGAAGAATTGTTCACTTCAATGTATACAAATTTTATTCACTTTGTTTTTGAAAGTGAGACGTTCCTCGATAGTTTGAGAAAAAATGCAAAAATCCAATTAAAAAAATTAGTAATCTTATTGAAAATGTGAAATATCTATTAGAAAATACTCAGAATTCTGATTTGAAAGTGAATAAAAAGTGAGTAAAAAAGCGAGATACACAATTAGGCTGTTAAAGATAAGAAGAGTAGATTTTATTGCAAAAAAACTAATGGCTTTTTAGTGAATTTAAGATGAATTAACGAAATGAAATTTTACTTGTTTTCAAAAATATTATTATCTATTCCAATATTAAAACATATTCCATATTGATTGATATATTGAGATAGGTAAGTATAAAAGTGAATTATCCAAAATAATTTCAAAATTATAAAATCATAATCAAAATTATGGCTATCAAATGATTAAATGAAAGTTTTATTTAACATAAAATAGTAAAAACTTAAAGCGAAAATAATTATTTTAAGAAAATTTTATAAAAATTACTGATGAAATAAAAACAAAATTTTAAAGCTTTTTTATTGTTTTCTAAATTGTACAATGTAGGTTTTTTTTTTTCGCGTAACAAAATAATAAAATGTTGGTATAGAAATTCCGCTGTTGTTTTTTTTTTGCTTTTTCTATTTTCTAAATTGGCACAAAAACGTTTTTAAATTAAAAAAAAAAACAATTCATGTGATACGTATTATGTATACGATATGTGCGTGTGTATAAAATGATATGAGCTAGAGGTATTCAACCTTTGAACCTCGTGTTATTGAGTTGACCAATGTGGTTTTAGAGTGATCCACCTTCATTACAAAAACAAAGTAAAATACATGAAAATTATAATACATAAAAATTGAAAATAATCTATTAAGAACAACATTTTATTTTTATTGCCACTGATCTTATATACATACTATTAAATTTGCATTATAAAATATTATAATTTTAGGGTATTGACTAAGTGGTGTTAATCAATATAGCTACTATGCGTACATTTACAATTAAATATTTGTTGAGATGACTTAATTAATACCAAAGATTGGACATCAGAGGAGTATATTGAAGAACACGTTCAACAATTGCCAATTTTAGGGCCTGATCGTCGGTCGGGGTCTTAATATCGGAAAAGAAAAAAATGCCTAAATATGAGTAATCTCTTTGGAAAAAATAATATATCAATTTGAAAAACGCAAAATTCCACCTTAAAAATGAATAAAAAGTGTGTAAAAATGCAATTCTGATCTACGGCAAAAAAAAAAAGTTGCAAATACCTGACAAATAATATGTTTTTGTACATTGTACACAATATACCAAAATTTTTAAAGTTTATTACCTGAGATATTGTGTACAAATTCGAATTATAATGACGAAAAACTTTTTTTGAACGATTGAAGAGAAAGAAATCGAATTCGTTAACTTCTAATACATTTGCTGTTCAATATTTTGAGAAATTTAGTAAAGAGTAAGATACATAAATGTATTAGATCAGGAACTTTTGGTTTTATTTGTGTGTATACAAATAAAACTTTCCTTGACCGTATTTTCATAAATTTTGCAATTTGCCGAACATATCATCAAGTGAGATTTGGTCCGGCTTCTTATCTCTCAAATCCATAATTTCATAATTAAAGCGTCAATTCAAACCATTTTTCTATAAATACTAATACCAAATATTCCTATTATTGCGACCCTAAACATGGTGAAACATATTTAATTTATATTTATCCCATATAATCTAAACGATATCAACGAACTTATACAAAAAAACAAAAATGCTATGTACCCGTGTTTAAAATAAAATAGATTTATATCTAATCTTCCAAGCGATTAAATTATAAAAATAAAATTGCACTACATACATACGTACATATGATGGACTATTGAACCTATATATGTACATTTGTGTGTACATTCACATATATCATGTATGTTTGTATATAAAAATAGATATATGCAATTATTATCTATTTAAAATTTTTTTAGATATGTTTAGACATTGTTTATTTGGTCATAATATACGGGAAAAACAAAACACTTGATGTGTTAAATGAAAATGACCACAAGATTTACAAAAAAAAAGAAAAAAAAAATAGATAAACAGAGGAAAAAAACATGTTTGAGGTAAATATAGATTTGAGTTCATTCAATGATTAAATCGGGTAAATGAACATTTTAAGGTTTTTGAGTACCATTGGTAATTATTACCTGTTAAGTTGAAGTTCAGAATTCTAATAATATAGTGTTTAGAATTCTATTTTCATATAAAATAAAAAAAAGACATTAACATTTTACGAAATAAGTACATAATTTACGCAAATATGTATAATTAGATTGAATTGCTTAAATGATTGATATTGGAAAATTGAATGAAACTAATTACATACATATGTACATGTGCATATACGAATGATTCGGAAAGCAAATTCTTGTAAATAAGAATGGTAAAAATGTCGAAGACTTCTAGTACCCATTCCAGCTAGTGTAAATAAATATTTAATGAAGCATGTGTACGAGTAAAAATTAGGTGCGAATGAGAAGGCAAAAGAGGACATTTAAAAAAAAAAAACAAACAATATTAAGTGATAAATTTGTGTCATAATCGTAACGACTATTTTCTGACAGTTATGAATTATCAAAACGGTAAAATTTTTAATTGATAAATTGTACCGAGAAATGAAACTTACTAAGTTAAAATATGACATAAGATGATAAGTTTACAAGGAGATAAGAAAAAGAGAAGAGAATTTTTGAAACACGAGAGTAAATTAAAAAAGAGAACTATTGGCATTTAAGAAAAGAGAACAAACCGGTAACTTATTTTTAAACTTACTTTATTACAAAAGTTTGCCTGCTATTTAACATCAACTCTGTTCTATTTTAAATTGCATTATTTTTAAATAATTTTTAATTTCTTTCATAAAAATTTAATTCAAAAAATTTAATGTGCCATTAAATTCAAGTAGTATATAAAATATATCATATTGCATATACTTCTAAGCTTGGCATTTCTTGCAATAACTTCCAAATTTATTATACAAAATTTCTAATAGAATAATATAGGATATTCGTTTGTGTCATTATGACAGATTAGATTAAACCAGAGTTGCAACCATTTGTTTCAATGCCAAACTGACTTTTTCAGCAATTCAATATTCTTAATTATCTAGTTGACATTTTGGTTGTAAACACTTTTGTACATTTAATTTTTTGACTTATGAGGTATTAAAAATTTAAAATTGTTATACATTCAAAATATGTGTGTATTTTAAAGGAAATAATTATTCAATTTTATAAAATATATGAATATGTAATATATGTACCTAATAAATATTATATACATATATATGTAGACATTTAATTTTATTTATTACTTTAAAATAATTAATAATACAAAAATTTTTATCAATAGTATAACAGGTATATGTAGCCATACATGTACGTATGCAAGTAATTAATTTACATAGTACCGGAAAATTGAATTTATTCAATAAATTTTATATTTTATATACATTTGTAGGTACATACATATATTACCTTTTCATGTTCATGTAAACTTTTATACAAATAATTAATTATATATAACACATATTTACGAGTATGTCTATACATATTATATCAAATTTGTATTACTATTAATTACAATATAAGCTTAACAAATTAACAAAAAAAAAAAAAAATTAAAAAAAATTTTCATTTTTATGTTTTGCTAATTCATTTTTTTGTATATTAGTATTTTAGTATTAGTACTTAAGAACATATATCTTATATACATATTAGTATAACAAAAAAAAAAAAAACAAAAATTAATTTTCTAAAAATAAAAAGCATTAAAATTTAAAATTTATTGAAAGAAAGCTTTTTGTATAACGCTTTCAATTTCATAAAGTTATACAATATTATTGTTTTGTATACGTACGTAGTGCAGTTGCAGCTTTTAAAGGGTAAGGTATACAATTGCCTCGTTTATATTAGCTTTGTTTATAATTTTTTATTTTATTTTAATTCTTTTTTAAATGAAGAATTTTTAGTGATTTTTAAAATTTAAAATAAAAAAAAAATATTTTTGGTTTTTTAATTTTCATATTCTTTTGTATCATATAGAGCGGGTATAACAGTCGGTTGTGATTTATTTTGCATTCAATTATATTTAAATTATGGTAAGTATTAAAATTTATAATATTAAATTTAAATAATTTAAATTTTTTTTTAAAAAGAAAAGTGTATGTTTTTAAAATATTATTTTTAATTATTTTTAAATACAAAATTTAATCGTGTAAAATAATAAAAAATTTTGGAGTTTAATGAAAATTTTCTTATAAATGTTACGTAATTTAAATGATAAAAGAAATTTAGTAGGTCTCTTGTTAATATTTTTCTTTTATTAATAATTTTAGTGAAATATTTTTTTTTTTTTGGAGGAAAAGAAAATCTCATTTGTACTCATTTAATATTTTAATTTTATTATACAATATAAAATATGTATAACAAAAAATTTATTAAAATTTATTTTATTTTATAAAATATAATTTGTATATAATCCTAGTATTTTGTTTCTTTTGTAGTATTTTGAGTATATTATTATACAAAGCCAAGGTCATATATTATTTAATAATATTGTGTTATAACTGTATATACGCATAATATACTCGTGTATACGCGTTCATATTTTTATAGGATATAAAAAAAATATTATGATTCATTCATTATAATTGAAATTTTAGATAAATAATAGTATATTGTGTGTTTGTATATAAGCTTTGATTTGAAACACTTTCTTTAAATACTAATACATACATACCAATATGTTTACATAGTTTTGAAGGATTGTGAATGATATGACAGAAAATGAAAAAAAAAATATTTCAAACCTGTTGATTTAAAATTTTTTTGACAAATACAAATAAAAAATTTTTTTGTTTTTTTCATATTATTATTTAAATGTCGTGTGTGAATGTGTTAAATGAAAGGACATTTTTATATACATACATATTTGTGATGATATGCGTGATTTCTCTACATGTGTACTACTCGTTTATTAGCCTAAGTATGTAGTATTGTATTTAATTACAATAATATTTTGAATTGTTTAAACAAATTTTATAAGTAATCAATAATTTTTTTTAAGTATTTTTAATGATAATTTTTTTTTTTTTTGAAATTTTCAATTTTTTATTGAATTACTAAGAAATTATTAATTAAATTTAATTACGAATTGAATTTAATTACATTTCAGTTGTCTTTCATAAATAATAAATATTATTTTATATCAATTTATGAAAATTACAACAAAAAGTTAGTAGAATACATTTGGTATGCCTTGTACGTCAAATATAATTTTAAATATTTGTCCATGGATTGCCAACCATATAACTAAAATTTATACTCACTTCGAGCATTAAAAGAGAATATCTTTAATATATCATATTTAATTTTATTATTTTTTCTTAAGTGCATTCTATGGCTCATTATATTAATATTTTTACATAGTAATTGAATTTGTAAAAGTAATTTTTACTCATGGTTGGCAATCCAAATAAACGAATTTCAAATTTTATTTTTTAAAAAATCAAAACTTTAAATAAACGTTTATTGTGAATATAATTAATTTATGTCAAAATATTTTTACGATACGACGTATTGTATACATTACTTTAGGAAATCAACAATTTGACAACACATATATAAGAAAATTTTTTGTAGTTTAGTTGCTACTGTAAAATCTTAATTTTTACTACAAATTTTAAAGTATTTGAAGTGAAGAGAGTAAATAAGCCACCAATAGTATGGTTTTGTTTGTCATTTTTTGCAAAAATGTTATAAATAGAACTTTCTTGTCCTAAGGTCGCGATATTTTTACATTTATATACGTTTTTTTTTTTTTTTTGAATTGAAAAACACATCTGTGTTGGACAAGAAGCTATTTGTCATTTTTTAATTTTCCTGCATATTATAATATTAATTTGAGAGAAAATTTTCGGTATGAGACACTTTAGCTTGCTAACTGGAAGTATTTTCGTTTTTGGATTCCTATAATATGACTAACTGGTTCTTCGATATTGATCGAACTTTTCGATTTTTTCGAAGGTTTTGACATTTCGTCTTTTAATTTATCGATACATGATAACTTTTTCTCTTTATTATTAAATTTTAATTTTTAAACTAAATAATTTGGCGGAATAATAAATATAAAATTAAATTTAACATTGAAAAATAATATACTATATGGGACAAATTCCATATTACAATATGCATAATAGTATAAAGCTTCATATTTTAATGCATGTATAACATATACACAAAGAATTAATCTGTAATATTTTCTAATTACATGTATATATGCATCATAACTGTGTATATATAATTCTTATATATAAATAGAGTCAAATACATTATAACAATTTGTTTTTGTATATAATATTTATAATATGCGAAAAATTTGTATATAGTATTAGCCTTGAAGATGAAAAGTATATCATTGATTCATGGTCAAATAATTTTCTTTCTTAACTTTAATGCATGCAGTGTATTTAAATATTTTACATATATATACATACATATACATATTTTTAGATGCAATTACATTGTGTATGTATGATTGTGTGCTATATATCTGCATTTATGCCATAATATAATTTGTATATAGACCTCATATTTTCATTAGGTTATACAAAAAAGTAATTTTAGCTTAAATTTTTATTATTTCCTGAATAGTTTTAAAATAATTTGAATATAAAGAATTTATGAGAAAAATTTCTATAATATTTTTGTTGATTCAGTTAAGGTAGGTAATTATTATATCCGGATTTCAAATGATTGCATATGTTTAGGCGAGTAAAACTCAAAAATTATTGTTGTATTTTTTTAAAAGTTGAAAGCAATGCTATCAAAATTTATATTTTAGAATTATTTATTGGAACTAATTAAGAAATTATTTTAATATTTTTTTTTGTTATGAACTTGAGCCTCCTCTTACTCCTCTTACTGTAAGAGGCCATTAAAACATTAAAAAAAGCCTTATAAATTGCCCTAATTTCTGCAATATACGAAAATTTATAATTTAACAATTAGATTTTATACAATAATATTGTAATATTGTCAAAGTAATAGTACAAATTGTGTTATACTTTATATGTATAATAAATTTAAAATATAAATTTGAATATTATTTTAAAGACATACACTTCTTAAATGACAATAACATTAATTTTATATAGACTTTAAAATTATAAAATTATAAACAAAGTTCATTTTATTTTATATATAGAGTGAGTGTCCAATTATTTGGGTTTTAGGTGGACCTGGCTCCGGTAAAGGTACACAATGTGACAGAATTGTAGCTAAATATAATTTTGAGCATTTAAGTACCGGTGATTTATTAAGAGCTGAGGTATACATATACGCAAACATGCATATAACAATATTATAACATGAATTATAAATTATTTACACACACACACATATTTTTTTTAAAATTTTTGATAAATTAAGGTAGCATCACAATCAGAAATAGGATCTCAACTTTCTGCTATTATGAAAGAAGGTAAACTTGTACCAAATGAAATAGTTTTATCATTATTACATAATGCAATGAAAAAATCAGCTGGAAAAGCTAAAGGATATTTAATTGATGGGTTAGTTATATTTTTATTAAAAATTTTTTTTAAATATTTTATATATATTTTGGTGCCCTAATATATATATATACATATAAATTGAAATATAACAATATTTGTATAGATGTATGCATAATATATGGTACCAATATATATAATACTTATTCAAAAATATATAACGTATATGTACCTATATTATTGTTATACTAAAGGAAGAAAATGCATTTGCATTTTCATTATCACGTGTACCCTTTCACGTATTTTGTATATACCTATATTTATATATATATATAGATATATAGATATAGATATATATAGATATAGATATACATATATATATGCTATTTGATATACATAAATAAAAAGCTTGAAATTTGATAATGTTACAAAGCATGACTGTATAATAGTATAACAATTAACCTAAATTTAAATTACGATATTTACATACATATGTATGTAAAATAGAAAATAATATAATAACTACATTTTTTATAAATAATCTAAATTTTATTGTATATTTTTTAAGATATCCACGTGAAAAAGATCAAGGAGCTGCATTTGAAAAAGCTATTGCTCCAGTTAATTTGATTTTATATTTTGATTGTTCTAATGTAAGTTTTTATGTTCACTAAAATATAATTGAATTATTTTTTGACAATTGCAATCTATATAGGAAACACTTGTTAAAAGAATTATGGCTAGAGCTGCAGCTGCCGCAGAAAAAAGAGCTGATGATAATGAAGAAACTGTTAAAACTAGAATTGAAACTTTCAGATCAAATACTAATTTAGTACTTGAAGGTTATCCAAAAGTATTGTCAACAGTAAGTGGCATATGTCAAAATCTTTAAAAAATATATACAAAAAAAAAATGTTTATTTTTCAAAAAATTCTATTTTTATATTTTTAGATCAATGCTGAAAGAGAGGTTGATGCAATTTTTAAAGACTGTTGCGATGCCATAGACAAAGTTTTAAAATAAAATTCTGTCAAAACATAATTTCTGTGTACCTGTCTGTTATAATGTTATAAAAAAACAAAAAAACAAAATATTAAAAAAAAAAATTTTTTTTTTGTGTTTTTTCATCAAATTACGTTTTAAGTCAGTTTTTCTCTTTATATGTATATAAAAAATTTTCGAATATTTATAAAACAAACAATTTCATCATAATTTCAATATTAAATAAAAATCACATGGAAAATTTCAAATTTTGTTTTAAATTTTCATTAAATATAAAGAATCAGGAGTTCCTGATTAATTTTAATTAATATTTCTGTTATACAATATTTCTGTAATACCTATGTTTAATCTATTATATATATTTAATTATTTAACTACAGAATTTTATTAACCATAGAGTGAGCCAACACAAAAATAATGCAAAATTTTAAAATTTCGCTCTTTAATAATTATTTATTCATTTGAAACTTGCTTAAATTTCAAATTGCATCAGATTTTATATTCAAAAAAGAGCTTTCAAAAATAAACTTTTCCAAGCATGATACATAAAAAAATTACCAGATGGCGCGGATTACGCTAAAAATATTTATTTTTATTTTTTGGCGGGAAAGTGTTTTATTTTTATGATGGCATCAAATTTCATATGTCGAGTTTTCAAGGGAAATGTGTTTCTGCATGCAAAGGAAGCGTAAACCAATTATTTTTAACGAGAAGTCTGTCTTCATGCTTGTCTGTCTGTGCAAATTATTAGCAAGACTGTTTTTCATGAAAATTTATATCTGAGCTTATTTCGAGAATGAAATGCTTTCATAAAGTTTTGGGATATGTCACGTTCTGGAACAGGATTCCGAATTCCGATTTACGTTTCCGAATTACGTTAAATTACTAAATTCCGATTTTACGTTTTTGTTCACTTAGAGAGAAATAATTAATAAATTTGCTCATATTTAAAATTTGGATATTAAAACAACGAGCCGGTAAAACATCATTAGAATTTTTCAGGAACATCAGGGCGCGGCTCGGCCACATAACTTTTATTAAGGACTGATTTTATACATATTTGATTATATCTCAGAGATTAATTGACGGAATTTTTTGAAATTTAATATTTAAGTTGTAGTTGTTAGAAATATTAAATAAGAAATTTGTAATTAAGTCGAATCACGGAAAATTAACTTCGACTAAGTACCAAATTTACATTTTTCTAGTTAAATTAAGTAAAGGCTATAGTTTTTATCTTTTATAGAATTTGAAATTGAATGTTCAAAGGAAATTTTCATAATTTTCTGCAACATTTTAAAAATGCGATCGGTTTTGTGCCACACCAGATTATTTTTACGAATTTTTATATCCGGATTTCAAATGATGGAATATGTTCAGAAGCACACTAGACGTATCTTTAAGAATTAAATTGCTTTGAAGTTGAAAGTTTTACAAAATTCTCAAATTATTCAATGATTGCGTACCCAATGAATGGTAGAATTTGTATTAAAATTTTATATTAAGAAAATATTATAGATTTTTAATATAAATCAAAATTATTTATAAATTAATATTTAATTCTTAAAATATTTTATTTTGTATGTCAAGTTCATTTCATTTAATTTCAAAATTTTCTACTTTATAAAATCATTTCCTTATTTTATTTCGTTTGAAACACGCATTTGCGTAAAATATTTATAGTTTAATAATATTAATATCGTATTGTACCTTGAATAAAATAATCTTCAATATCATTGAAATATTCATTTAAAATTATTATTAGAAAATTAAATACGAGTATATTGTAGAGACTTAAAGAATTTAAAGGATATTGAACTAAAATATTGTTTTTTGTTCTAAGCGTTTCTTATTCGCGATAATTATTAAAGGTATACATACATTCGATTATATTGAAGGTGAAAATTTTTCATTATCATTTTTTATTTTATCATATTCTAAAACTGAAATTATAGAATTAGAAATATAGTAACGATTTATTATATTATACTTATAAACGGTAAGTATACCGTTAGGTAATTTGAATTTTATGTAAATATGGAAATATTTATGCGGGGTGATTCAGTAATCAGTGACTTAACATATACAGTTATTTTGGGGCATCGAAAACGAATAAATATTTTTTTCATCCTGATAATTTCGTATAATGTTTCTTTCAAGCCGTATACTAGCTCTTTCAGAAACTGTTTATTTATAATTTCTATCTTTTTCGAAACGGAAGTTATAAGCAACAAACTTAGGCAAATAGAAATTTTGTGACAATTTTCTAAAATTCCTGTACCTTGGAAAACATTAAGATTTGACACCTAATTTTGAACAAAAATCATTTACTCATTTTTAATACCCTAAACGATAATATATGTTATGTCACTGATTACTGAATCATCCTGTACAGATTAGGTTTTTTTTTTAATGGTGAATTATTTTGTTATACTAAAAATATTATGTAATCGAAAAATGTATGCAAAATATGATTTATTTTATTATATAAGTTATATTTAATATAAAAATATAATTTCTATAATTATTTGAAAATTAAAATTAGAATTTCATTTGATTTTGTACCATGTAAGAATCTTGTTTCTTAGCTTTTAAACTGTACAAAATTACTTAATTTTTAAACTTGATTGATTTTGTTCTTAAAATTCCCTACATATTTCCCTTCTCTTAAAATTCTCCCTATTTCCCTTCTCCTATTAATAATAATTTTCAAATTTATCCTTCTTTATTTGTATATTCTATTCGAATACACATACACTAAGTCCTCGAGATACGACATTTTTCTCGTCTCTGCCAAAAACAAAAAAAAAAATTTTTTAAATTTTTAATGTCGTATCAAGAATAATGTCGAAAGCCGAATAAAAATGATCCAAATTTATATCATGTCGTAACTCGAAATATCGTATTAGAAGATGTCGTATCTAGAGGACCTAGTGTACATACTTATATATTATAGTAAATTCTTATAGTTTTAAAAGTTTTTACAACATTTTTTCCTTATAGTACTCGTATTCTACACTTAATAGTAGCATATAGTAGTAAAAAGGTATTAAATACTCGTATAAGCACTAACATGTATACAATATTGAAATTATGTTCAAACTAATAATATCGTAATTTTGAAAAATGAAATTTATTCATAAAATACCTATATACTGATATATTGTTGCCAGAGTAACTTCAATATAAAACATTCCCTATATATATATATATATATATATATATATAAATATACATAGACAAATAAATGTGAGAATTAATAAATTAGTCGGCTGTATACATACATATATACATACATATAATAAGAAAATTGGTTTCATGTTAACAAAAATAAAATATTATGAGTTGAAAAACGATTATTTTAACACAGAACTGGCAAAAATGCGAGAAAGACATAGAAACAAAAATAATTTGTAAAGGGAAAAAATTTTTTTGAATTAAAAATAAAAAAAGAAGTTGAATATTAATTAAATGAGAAGAAAAAAAAGACGAAAATTATGAATGAAACCGCGAATGTGTAGAATTTTTTTTTTTATTAAATAATGTAAATAAAATTCTGTGGCCCAAAGCAAAATTAACATAAGTCGATTAATACCGCTAAAAATTTCTATACTAGTATAACAGTTTTCAAAAAGCTACAAAAATCATGTCAACAATATTGAAAATTCTTTGTTAATTAATTATTTTTTTAAAACAAGATACAATTTTTGTTTTTCTTTATTTTAAATTATTTTTATTTTAAATAATTTTAATTTTATAACGTTAAAATGGCGAAATGAACATGTAATCTTAAGTATGGTATAACAATAATTTTATTTTATTAATAAAAAAAAAATAAAAATTCATTCCTTTTAATTCTTTATAGAAATTTTACACATAGTTATGCTTATTATATGCGATATTTTAATTTATTGATGAATGAATTGAAATTTTTCCAAATTAAACTTAAAATATATTTAGATTTAGATATTTTTATTAATTTTAAATTAAAATAAAGATTAATCGCTTTTAACCAAAGAAATCTTTAGTTTTTTTCTTAATTTTTCCCCAAAAACCTGGTGATTGTTGTTCAACTGGTTGGGCTTCTACGGCAATTTCCTAAAAATAAAACAAAAATTAATTATTTTTAGATCTTTTAAAATGGAATGGAGTGTAAAAGGCGGAATTTTACGATAAGACAAGAAGCATTTAAAAATATGAATAATTTAAAGTTTAATTTTAAATTATAAAATCTTATAGTCTCTAGTCTAGGTACATGTTATGAATTTCACCTTTATAATAAAAATTAAAATATTGATATTATAAAGGTTTTTTTAATTAATTTCATACTTGTTTTTCCGTATATTTGTCAGAAAAAGGTTCATGAGGTTGTGCCATTCCACTATATTCATCATTTCTTATATTGAGATTTGCTTGTTCAAGATGTTGTTGTTCAATATTTTCAAAACGTTGCTGATCAAAACCTTCAATATGTTGTTGTCCAAAATCTTCAAGATTAGCTGATAATATTCTTTGTTGGCCATCATTATAATCATTATCATTAAAAGATTCAATTTCAACATTTTGTTCATTTTCATTATTTTTATTATTCTCTAAAGATGATGATCTAGCTGCTCTATCTGGATTATTTCTATAATTATGTTGATTATCATGATATATATTTGCTCCAACAGGTAAATTAGAATTATAATTATAAGAATTTCCTGCTGTTATTCCTTGATTTTCATGCATTAGAACTGGAACTGTATATGTTTGTGTTGTTACTTTTTTACGATGTGTACGTGTATAAGTGTCAGTTATACCAGTCGGAATCGGAACTGGTGGTGCTGGTGGTGGATTTCTTATTTGTGCTGATGGTTGCATTGGTCTATATATAGGTCGAGCAGTTGTTGGTTCTCTTTCTTGAACTGGTCCAACAGTTGGTTTTTGCCCATAAATATAGGGTTCTTGTTCATCATAATCTTCTAAATAAAGATTTGGTGGCTGATCACCACGATCATAACTAATTGATATATTATGTTTTCCAGTTACATTATATTTTTGATCAAGTAATTGACCACCTTCAAGATCATAATTTCTATGTAATAAACCTTGACAAAGTAAAAATAGTATTCTTCTCCAATTATCTAATGCCACTAAAGATAATCTATAACGTTCTGATAATAATTGGAAACGATGTTTTTCTTGTTCAAGCCATGCAGCATATTCATCATTAGCGATACTAACACTATGTGCCAACATTCTTAAACGATTTAATTCACTTTGACGGAATTCAGCTAATTCCGTAATAGACATACGATAGTATCTTGCTAATTTATATAGCCGATTTAATTCTTTAATTTGCCATCTTCTAAGCTCTTCTACATGTATACTATACTGATTTGCAATATTTTGAAGATTTTGTAAATCACTTTGCCATTTAATTAGATCATTAATAGTTATTTGTTGATTTCTTATTAGCATATACAAGCGGTCGCGTTCACGTTTCTGCCAATATGTTAAGTTTATTAAAATTGTGGTATCGAATTTACCTTCATCATGTAAACGTTTTATTTCTTCTAGATGCCAAGCTTCCAAAATTTCTAAAGATATACCATATTTTTTGGCAAGTTCAGAATGAAATTCTCTATCATATCGTAAATATTCTGAAAATTCTTCTTCGCTTATTATGAATTCTTTTACAATTAAATTTAATCGTCTTCGTTCCTGTTTCTGCCAATCAAATAATTCACCAGTATTTAAACTTGAAATCAATCCTAAACTTAATAATCGTTCAAGTTCTTTCTTTTGGAATTCTCTTAACTCAATAACAGATGTTTGATAATTTTGTGCAAGGCGTATTAAATTGTCTTCAGTTTCCCATAAAAGTCTTTCTAATTGTTGAATAGTATATGTGTGATGTGTAACAATGTGATATAATCGATCTCTCTCCAAACGCTGCCATTCAATAAGGTTCTCACTAAGTATTGCTCCAATACTTCTTAATCTATTAAGCTCTTCAGTATACCAATCAATCAGTTGTTGTATTGTGATGTGATATTCTAAGGCTAAAGTTTTTAGTCTTTCCTGGTTATATTTTAGTTTATGTTCAAGTTCCTCGTAAGTCCATGCTTGTTGATTAAGTATTTTTTGTATATATTCACGTTCTTTTTTTTGCCAATCTAAAAGAATTTCAGTTTGGTAAATCAGATTCTGTTGTAACAAACGTTCGAGTTCTTTTTTGAACCATTCCTCAATTTCTTCTACAGTTATATGATATTGATAGGCAAGTTTTTCCAATCGATATCGATCGTTTTTGATTTTTTGTTCTAATTCTTCAATTGATATGTGATTCTGTGTAACAAGTGCATATAAATTTTGACGTTCTTGTTCTTGCCAATCGGTTAATGTTTCTTCTTCTTCAACTATTTCTTCAGTGACTTTAACAAATCCTAAACTATGTAATCTATTAATTTCTGATATAATAAACTGTTCGATTTCTTTCATGTTTGTGTGGTATTGAACTGCCAAATTTTGTAGAAATTGTCTGTCTTCGATAGTTTGTTTTTTTAATTCTTCTAAAGTCAAATGATTTTGCAAAACAATTTGTTCTAAATTATGACGTTCATGTTCCTGCCATTTTTTAAGCTCACCAATACTCTCAGTATTTTGTATTTTCAATCGATTTATTTCATTTCTTATAAAGTTTTCAAGTTCTTCCAATTGAACATGATATTGGAATGCTAAGTTTTGTAAACGACTTCTATCCTTTAGAATAGATTGTTCGAATTCTTCTATAGTTAATTGATTTTGTACAATAAAATTATTCAGTCTATTACGTTCAACTTTTTGCCATTCTTCAAGGTTCTCAATTTTCACTAATCCTTGCGATTTTAAACGTTCAACTTCTTTTTTAATCCATTCTTCAATTTCACGTACTTGTATTTGGTATTGCATTGCTAAATTATGTAAATGTTGATTATCACTCTTAATTCTTCTTTCTAATTCCTCAACATTAACTTCATTTTGTTTAACAATTAATAATAAACGATCACGTTCACGTTTTTGCCATTCATTTAATTCTTCTTCAACACTTTTTAAGAGACCTTGCGAATGAAGGCGACCACTTTCCTTTTTAATCCAATCTTCAACTTCTTCAACTCGTACTTGATATTGTTCGGCTAAACGTTGAAGTTTAATGCGGTCTTCTTTAATTTTCTTCTCAAATTCTTCAATTGTGTAATCATTCTGTTGAGCAATCACCATAAGACGATCTCGTTCTCTTTGTTGCCATTCTTTAAGTTGATTTTCAATTGTAATAGTGCCAATATTTCTTAAACGATCAATTTCTTTACGTTGCCATTCTTCAAGCTCTTCAATTGATACGTGATATTTATGGGCAAGATTGTTCAAATAATTCTTGTCATGTCTTAACTGTTCTGTTAGTTCTTCAACAGTTAAGTTGTGTTGTTGTGTAATATGTTCTAAGCGTAGACGTTCCTGCCTTTGCCATTCAGTTAATCTTTTGATTTCTTCTTGTTGTTGATTTACGATTGTTGTTAAGCGATGCAGTTCATTCTTAAGCCACTTTTCCATTTCAGCAATATTAACGTGATACTGCTGTGAAAGATCTTTTAAGCGATCTTGATCTCTTCTTATTTGCTCCTGAAGTTCTTCTACAGTTACATTGTGTTGCCTTATCACAGAATATAAACGGTCCCGTTCTTGATTCTGCCATTGTTTGAGTGTATCTAGTTCAGTAGTTTGCACATTTATCGCATCATAAACTTGATCAAGCTGCTTTTTTTGCCACTCTTTAAGCTGAGAAATTGAAATTCTATATTCTGAGGCCAATAAGTTAAGCAAATCTTGATTTTTCCTTTGCCAACTTTCAAGTTCTTTTGCGGTCAAAGAATTTTGTTCTATTAACCATCGTAGTCTTGCTTTTTCTTTCCTCTGCCACTCTTCTAAATTTTCTGTCATTATAGTTTGCTCTTGAACAAATGCATTAAAACGTTCAAGTTCACGACGTTGCCATTCTTCAATTTCTTCAATTGTTGTATTATAACTGTAAGCCAATTGATGTAATCTATCTTCTTGTTCGGCTTGCCATCTTTTAAGTTCAGTATTTGAAAGAATTTGATTTTGGAAGAGCCAAAACAGTTTTTCTCTTTCATTTTTCATCCAACTTTCTTCTTCCATATGATGTTCATGTACACTGCCAAATGGTCGATAATTATTATAAACAACTTTACCATTTTCAATCATTGTTTCACGTTCACCTCCCGCAACAATTGGTCTACCATCATTTCCAGTTGTTACAGTTCTATTAAATTGTTTTATAGTAACTGTTGAATGACCACCAGGTTGGAAAGCATTTATATGAGATTGTCCCATTGCTTGTGAATTTTCTAAATTAAATGATTCTGTATTGAAATAACTTGGTTGATAATTTGTATGATGAGTATTTTGTGTATTAAAATTCTCAACTTGTGATTCTAAATTTGATGCAACAGGAATAACAACAGCTGGTGAATTTGTTCTTATATTATTATATTGATTACTTGTCTCTTCATTTACAATAACCTGTGGTGTCCAATTTGGTACTTGAGACTCTTTTCTATTAATGTAATTATAAATACTATGTCTTGATGAGCTTTGTAAATATGGATTAATTTGATGTACTGTTACATGATTAGTATTTCTTGTACCTTCATTATATGTTTCTCTTTCATTGCCACTTATAATAGTTATAGGTGGTGCATTATTTGTTGTAGTTGTTGTACAATTCTTTTTCATTATATATGTTTGATCACCAATTGTATGTACTTCTGTTGGATATGAAATATGATGAACATTATTGAAATTATCAAGTGTTTCAACTTGATCAGTTGAAAATGCTTGCTTTTGTTCATTTTCTAAACGTTCCAAAAGATTAGATGCTTCTTGTTCAAAGAAATTTGTTTGAGTAACATGATTCTGTGTTAAACGACCACTCTGAACTTCTTTTATAATATATTCTACATGTTGTCTAATAATGAGACTCATTTCTTCTTCAGTTTTACCACCGTAAGTAGGATAAGTATCTGTAAAATAAAAATTTATTTTAATTATTTTGTTAAGTTTACGTTACATTAAATGAATGTGATTGTAAGTATTCCATATGTGCTCACAATTACAAAAATTTAAATATAAATATTAAGGAAAGTTCTTCTTAATTATGACGATTTTATATGTATAACTGGTATGAATTAATCATAAATTTAATTAATTACAAATGAATTTCATTATTAAAAATTCTGATGCATTAAACTATTATATACGGGAAAATATGACAGACAAGAAAAGTAATTTAAAATTTTTGACATTTTCAAGGCTTTTCGTGACTAAATTACATTAGAAGATTATTAAAGTTGAATAAATTTAATGCAATTATTTAATTATTGTTAAAATTAATTCAAAATCTTTACCTTTAATTTTTGTATTATAATAAAAAAATTTTATGTTCATATAAATCATATTTTTAAGTACATATACACAATATGAAAGAGCATAAATAATTTGCTTTGTCCACATTATGCCACGCAATAATTTTCTATTTAAATCTAATTAGTTCATATTAAAATCTTTTAGCGCAAAATTATTTTACCCTCATATGGGAAAAGCTTATCAAATTCTTATTTTCTTAATGTACACATGCCATTTGCTTAGGATTTTAAAATAAAAATCTAAGTATAACTGCATTAAAGGTATTTACGTAAGACGCGTGTGTAATTTTCACTCTTGTTTATTTTTGAAAAATTTTTATATTCAATAAAATTTTGGAATTTATTAATTCAAACTATGACGAGAGGTGGTTTACACAAGGAATTTTATTAGAGTTATTTAAGATTGCGATTAGATTTATTCATTGATTAGTAATTTTTAATTTTGTATTCGAATGATTTTTCAAATATTTTGAATATTAATTGTGTACACGTATATTTATATATATATGCTTGAAAACTGTAATTATTTAAAATAAATAAAAATAATAATAATCAGTACAATTTTTTATTATTAAATTATTTTATTTAATTTATAACAATTTTTATTATGTTATCACATATTTTATTATTCGAATAAATTGAAATTGTTGATAACGTTTTGGTCTGTAATTATGTAAAATGAGAGAGAATACGTTAATTTATGTGTTATGTAAAATGAGAGAGAATATAGGAAATTATCTAAATATTAGAGTTGTGATTTATTGAATACATTACTATGTATTTATAGTAGAGAAAAGAAAACGAGCAGGAATACAAATTTCGAATCGAAATTAAAAAAAAAATCCAAATTTAAAAACAGTTTGTGCGAAATTACACAAATTACACCAAAAATTGCAATAACGAGAATTGTATTGAGTGTGTCAAAACCAGAAAATATTTATATTAATTATTATTATAAATTATTTTATTTATTTATTTATCATGTTTAATTTGCACTTACATTCGAATTAAAAATTATCGAATTCTAGTTTATTGACGTATAAAATAACCTGTCATTTTTATTTTTAAATATTATTGTTGTATTAAATCATTTGTATAGGTTTGAGTGTATGCACATAATATATTATGACATTATACACATTCTTTCAAATTACATTTTTAAATATATAAAACAAAACACTACTTCATTTCGCAGGCTCTTCCTCTTAAACTTAAATAAAAGAGTGAGAGAGAAATCGGAGAGAGTGTAAGAAGTGAAGTGAAGTTTAAAAAGATTTCAAAACGTTCAATATTGTAAAACGGCAGATATGTAAGTATTATGTTTGTATATAGATATATATGTATGTATTTATTTGTATAACAACAATAATAATTAAAAATAATTTAAAAGAGATATCATTTCGTGCAAAACATAATTTTCCTGTATTGTGTTTCCGGTTTTCATAACCGACACTTTTTATATTAAGGTTTGAAAAAAACTATATCAACATATGTATTTGTGTGTATAGTTGAAACAAAGTATATTTAGTTACCATACTTGTTTAGAATCATTGTGAATATGTATAAAACTAAAAGTATGTAGTAATGTATACACGCTAACCTAAATATTTTATCAGCACTTTATAAATTCTCGCATTATATAGTTTCGTTCAAATTAAATCAAATCAAATTATAGATTTTTTATTGTATTTATATATTTATAATAATAAATATTAGATTTTTATTGAAAATAAAATTTAAATTAAATAAAAAAATTTAAAATTTATTGTTATAGTAAGACATGGCTACAAATGTCAAATTAATTTTTAATACATAAATTATGTTTAATAAAATTGTTTAATAAAAATATTAAAATAAAATTAAATAAGCGCCATTAGAAATTTATGCGTACAATTCATAATTTTAAATAACTACTAATATTTTAGGAGCGAATAAGCAAAAACGAAAATCTTGAGAATTGGAAATGAATCCAAAATTAGGAAAAAATTCAAAATGGAAGGAGATTGAAATTGAATCATTCTTAAATAAATTTAAAGGCGATTTTAAAAGGATTTCAATAATGTGTAAGTTAATTTTAAATTACATTTTATTTATTTAATTTTTTAATAAAAACTATCATAAATAATTTTTTGAATGCATAAGCAGTCATTAAAATTATTTATTAAATAAAATAGGGATGGTACTTACGAGTTGAAATTGATGATTGTTGGCCACCTTGCGTCAATATAAAATATTGTTGACGCATAATATTTGCAACAGTTCTAACATCCTTATAATGTGAATGTGCCCATAATGATAATGTTATTCCGCCAGTACAACATAATTGTTGTGGTTTCGATTCATATGAATAATGTCGTCGATATTCTGTATTATAGGTTTTTGATAAATTAACAAAATATATCACAAATATTAAATATCCAAAAATTAACTTCATTTTGGAAATTTGCAGTTTTTCGGAAATATTGTTTTCTTTTTTTAAAACTTCATATAAATTTTTTTTTTTTATTTTTTTTCACACTAAAAAAAAATAATTTAAAAATTTTTAATATTAAGAATTTCACAAAACAAAAAAAAATTAATATTTTAAAACTAGAGCAGCAGTCTTCTTTTAAGACTGATATTCAAGATCACTTAAGAGTGAGTAAATTAAGATTAAAGTCTTTTTTAAATACAATCCAATTGATAAGAAATTATTGTTGTTATTAAGAAGAAGATGAATTTAAGAGAAGAGGCAAAAAAAAAAAAATTTGTTATCATTTTATTTTAATTATAAAATTGACCCGAAAAACTAAAGTACTATACTAAAGCTTATTTTATATATATATATATAACAATTGCTTGTATATAATTGTTTATGTACAGTATAATTCATTATAATTATCATTATTTCCGAATAAATTCAATAATAAATTCAATATTGTTTGTGTGAAAAAATTTTCAAGAAATATAGAAATAAAAAATTCAAATTTTTTCATCTAATTTTTTATTCATAAAAATTAGAATATTAATATAGAATTATTATTAAAATTTATTATTATTGAAATAATTGAGATAAGAGTATTTAAAAATAGAGTATATACAAGAATAGAGTATTCACATATGAATATATTATGTGAATATACAAATATATAAAAAAAGATTTAAGCTGGTGATTTGTTTGAGCGTACCCACCATATTAGAATCTTGATAATATTTCGCTGAATTACTGAATTTCGTCTAATAAATGAGAGAAATTAAAATGAGTAGGAATGAGAGAAATTTTTCGATAAATTTTCGAATTGAGTTATTCAATTGAACAGTTACAATGACAATTAAAGAGAGTAAAAAAAACTTTTTGATATTACGTATGTTAAATATTTTATAATTGATTTCAAAAGCTTACAATTTTAATTCAAATTCTTTGATTACAAATAATGATTTCCTTTGTTCTATGTTATCATTACTTGGTAATTTTCACACAATAGACCGCATATGTTCTATCTACTTCATATAAAAGCAAAAACACATTATACATACATATATAATTAAGCTGAATATCAGATCGGATTTTCTTAAAGAATTGAACGAACGCAATATACTCAATTTGACATTGTTAATAATTACAACAATTTAAATGGCATTCATTTGTTCTTACAAAATTGATGTCCATTAAAATTCTTACATTCTCATTAAAGTAAAAACAACAAATAATTAGTAAAAATAATAATAATTTTAATTATTTTATGTTTATTCAATTTTAAAAACTTCAAAATTTTAACAAAGAAATTAATTTTATTCGCTAAATTTTTTTTTATTATACGAGTACAATGTTATTTCAAATTATTCAAATTTTAAATTTATGATCTTAAAATGAACTCTTCGTTATGAAAAAAAAAATGAATGAACATTTTGTATGTATTACTGAGATATTTTGAAGAATTAAAAACGTAAATCTTTTGTTATTTATTTAAAATGAAATATGTAGAATTTCTCAGAAAAATGTTATATGATTATATGTATGTTTAAGTATGTATGTACATAGGTAGACACATATCATTATAAGCTTGTTTACTTGAGAAATGAAATTTTTTTTTGTTAACGTCTGTATTGTATACAATACAGAAAGTATTGTGATCGTACTATAAATTTGGCATTTAATATTAAATAAACGTAATTAACATATTTTCAACGAGATGTCGTGTTTGTGGACTGCTATGCTTTAAATTAATATGACCTAACGCGAATCGATTAATTTTGCGGTTTGGTTCAGGTCCGGCAACTTGAAATATTTTATCATATCCAAGACCATAATTAAATAATTTTTTTCAAATTCAATAATTTGTCTCTGTTTTTAGGAAAACCCGCCACATTTTTAAAAAAATTAGGTATTTAAAAGAGGAGTCGTTATCATTCTTTATCATTGAACCAAGCCTTTTTTGAATAAATATTAGCCAGTCTCTTGGTTTAAGTATTCCACAATGAAGAGAATTATACCGCCAGATAAACATCATGATAAATCAATATCATTTGAACATGTTTTTGGAAACATACAATGTGATTGAGTAGGTGTTGACCATATCACTTTTTGTACCCTTATGAACGTATGTTTGAAGTGTATTATAAATTTGCTTTTGCGTTTGCAACGTTAAGAAATAATGGTTTGAGTTATAGACATAAGTGTATGTTTTTATTCGACGTCGAATTCTGAGCACATTTGTACCATTCGCCTGTCTAAGGTCTGTCTGTCCGACCGTCTTACTGAAATTTTGTGTAAATTAATAATTAAAGTGATATCATAGCCAGTTATGGTATATTTTTTCACCCATATTATAAAAATTTCGTACAGATATCACAGAGTTGACATGATCAACTCAATTCTTTTTTCGTTTTCTTTAAATCTTTTCAAACTTTTCAATGAAAAAGAATTCTGAGAACAAATGTGCTTTTAATATTTTAAAATTCCGAATTAAATAATCAATTATAATTAATTATCTCTTGTTTTTATAAATACCATATAATAGTATTATATATGTATAAGTATGTAGCATTATATTTTTTATATAACCTTAGCATTTGATATTTTATATATAAATTAATAAGTTTTTAGTTTGTACACTTCAAATGAATTTGATACATGAAAGTGAATAGTTTTAGCTAAAAACTACAAAGTTTTTTGATCAAATTAATTTGAATATTTGCGTAAAATTAAAATGGACTCAAGCAAAGAAGAAGATAAAGAGGTAAGTTATATGCTTATACACTTTGAAGATCAATAAGAAATTATAAGATTTCGCATTAATAAAAATGAAGAAATGGAACAAAAAATATTTTATGACATAATTAAGTGTCAAAAATTAACATAATAAAATTAATTATCAAATTATAAAATTACCGCAATAAAAAGACTAGGCTAATGAAGATGAGAATAAAAATTCATATACAACTAAATTCTATATTCAATATTAGTAATTAACAGTAAACTTTTGACAGACAATGTGAGAATTACGTATGTACATGCTAGAGATTTAGAAATCGATAAGACTCTATTTATGTAAGTGCCTACATATACTCGTATGTGGGCAATTTGATTTTGGTTAAGGAGAGATGTGAAAATTATGTAGTTATTTATTTATATAATTATGTCGATGATGTTATACTCATTTTAATTCATATATGTATATAAAAATATAATAGTTTTTGAACTTTACTCCGTTGAGTACACAAATCAAAGTATTTACTATTTGTAACTATTTGGGGAATGGTTTTCTAATTCTATTTTGAATAGTGAAAATAATCGAACACTACTAAGAGATTTGAATTTACGAGTATATATTATATATATCTATATACAGTATAAAGTTAAAAAATTCGAATGATGGGCGATATCTTATATATAATCGCCCGTCATTGTACATTTTTATAATAGAGGTAACAGTGCACCACAACTCTCCGTAAGGATATTGTGGCCTCATCCCTTTTGGAGATTGCCCCGGTAAGTTCGATCAAATTGTAAGACCCGAAAAACTGCTACTCCCGCCGTGAGAGCAAACTCCCCTAGTAATTTTTTTCTTGTGCGAGCGATGCATAACACTCTTCCAGAAGGTGAACTGGAGTCTCCTGATCTTCCCTACAGAATCTTCAAGTTTCTTTACTTTCCAAGCCTAACTTAGTGTGATGCCCTCTAAGTCTGCAGTGACTTGACAAAAGTGGCATCTTGAGAATTCTCACCTGATTCTTACGCATCTCTATAATCTTTTAATATTCCTTCTGGTCATAATCGCCCATAAGCCCTTTGGCCTGACATAGCCCCGGAAGACTTGATTAGCGCGTTGACCACCTTCTCTTCGATTCCCATTTGGGTGTGTTAGTCACTTCCATTGCCAACGTGCGAACTGCGTCATTTCTTTCTACGCCCAAAGAGACTGACCCAAAGAGGTGGATACCACAGAGATCCACAACCAGTCGCCCATATTTAAGCAATGTATGTTTTTCTATGAACAAGTTCTGTTTTTTTATATGGCTGTATACTCTCTTATTTAGATTCGGAAGCAATCTCAATCTGTCCTTTAAAAATTACAATATCATTCCGCTAAATATTTGCTCAAAACCCTTAAGGTTTAGCTGCTAAAACATTTATTTTAAAACTGCAAAAAACAGCTGCTTTTATTTTATGTACATTTTCCTTTATTTTATTTACAATAAAAAGTAGGTTGGATAATAAGCTTACCTTGTTCAATATTAGAAATTTACATTAAGTTTTATTGAATTATATATGCTTTACCTTTATTGCATTTTGGATTTATTATTTGCATATATGTTGGCACGTATTTAACACAAAAAATAATAAAATTTTTACAGTCGAATACAAGAAATTAGATGAATAGAAGAAAAATTTGCTATTTTTGGTATTAATATATGCAAAATTTTTGCGGTACTTATTCGTTCCGGTTGTTTTACGGGGTACAGTGTAAGATATGCGCGCCGTTTTTTCTAGAAAAAAAAAAATAACTTTCTTCTTTTCCATGCTTGAAATTATTCAATTATCTTTTTTAGGTAAGTACAGATATTGTCTGGAATAAATTTCTAATATTGATTGTTTGTCGAACAATGCTTACCTCCGATAAAAATGTTAAAAGCGAGGTTCATTATATCAGTTTCGCCGCTTTTAATTTATTTCCGTCATTGTCTGTATTTCATGTCTTATTTCGCTTGCGTTTATACTTCTTTTGAGTAGGTGCCTAATTTTCTCATATATATATATATTGTTTTTCTCTATAACGCCCTTTTTACGAAACTGTGCTGTTACAACTCGTATTGCTTCTAATTAATATTACTGTCCAGGTCTACTCGACTGTAACTCCAATGGCTCGTTTAGTTGCGTCAAGGCATTATTGAGAGCATTTGTGTTATCTCGAAATATGTTCAACAACCGATGTTCTAAATTGATTTCCTTAGTTGTGTTAGTGCCGCTTTGCTCAAAAATCGGGTATAATTTTAAAATTTCTATTATATGCTTGTTAAGCATATAAATTTTAAAATAAAATTATAGATGGCCAAAAAAAAATTTTTAACCATATATTATAATTAACTCCCTATAAGTATGCAATTACCTGAATTTTACTGTTAATGTTTGTTGTATACAATTCTAGTAAAGAATGTTACAAATTATAACATCAAAAATCGTTAAATTTTATTTCTAGGTTAAAATATTTTGCACATGCACATTAATAAAAAATAATATGAATAAATTTATGTGCCATGCATTATGTACAAAAAAATATTATGCATAAATAAGAAGGAATTATGCTTGTTAAAAGTCTTAATTTTTTACTAAAACAAAAGAAATTTGTCAGTTTACATAATATAAAAATTATAATTTGTTTTTTCTCATTTACTATTAAAAAATGTCACATTTCATTTATAATTTTTTATTTATTCGTTTTCCTATTTGCGATTGATTGACATTACTATTAATTGTGATTGAATATACCTGTTACGTTTGCATGAAAATAATTTATGCAAAAATTTCTTCTTATTGCAAATGAAAAAAAAAAACTTCAACTTTTATTAAGCCTTTCTTACACTTGGTGTTTATTTTATCTATGGTGAGTTTTTTAAATAAACGAGGAGAGTTAACGAAGAAATTTTTTTCCGATAGAAGTTTTTACCTTTTTATAAAGTGTACGAAAGGCAATATTTAACAAATGAGTATAAATTGAAAGAAAAATATACAAAAATTGCTTGAATTAGGCATATGCTGTAAGAAAAATAAAAACTGTTTCTGTTCACTCTAAGATATTTTTCTGTTAGATAAACTCATAGTTGATTCAAAAATTAAAATACTCACTAAATAACTCTTCGATCTCTTGTAAAATATTAAAAACAATTTTACAATTTATTCAATTTTTTTACCTTATAAAATAAAGAAAATGAAATGTGATTCAAAAGATCATCTAATACGAAAGAAATAAGGTTTTGGAACAGAACTAATTGTATATAAACTTTCATTATAAAAGTTTTGTAAACAAACAAATGGAAGAAAGAATAGGATACCCTTCTTTTCATTAAAATTCAAAAAGTAAGAAAAATCGCTAAAATTTTTTTAAGTATTTGATTTTATGAAAATCTTTGTGGCCCTACCCTATAGAACTATTATAAAAAAATCCATATTTTCCTAGCTTATTTTTCATCTTCATTTCTTAAATATGTTTATACGCTTTGGTTTTGGTGGCATTTTACAAAATCGTTTATTTGTTAATAGCAAAGGATATGTTCCTTGCTCCTAAATTCGATTAAAAAAAAACAGAGCTATAATTTTTTTACTTCTGACAGAGATGCTAGTATTTTTTGATTTTGAAATAGAAAAATTAAAAAATATTGTTTCCCTTGAGGCTAAGTTGAATATAGAGCATTTTACTTCGAATATAATTGAGAATGTTAACAAATCAATATATCATATTTTTTTTTGTCAAAAATTTGATTTTACTCCTGTTTTTCACATTTACAATAATTGATCTACAAAAAATTGATTCGTAATAATGTTTTTAATATTATCATAAACTAATAAAATATTTTACAATAACAAATTATTAATATAATTTTTTGTTTTTGAAAATTTCATATATATACAAACTGTTATAATTCAAATATAACACAATACGAATATTGTATAGCATTCGATTAAAAAAAATTTTAAATATATACAAACAAAGAATAGAGGATCTTTAGTATAACGGTATATATATACAATATCACTTATATACACATATATATATCACTTATACTCGTATATATATTGTGTATGTGTTGTATATGTTAAGTGCATATTCACCTACATTACAATTAATTTCCACCACTGCGAATATTCTTTTTTTAATTTTCTTGTTTTTTTTTTTCGTATTTTTGTTTTTGGGCTCTATTTCACTTTTTCTTCTCGACATTATATTATTATTGAATGTACATAGCTAGTTTTCTCTAAACAGGACAAAAACATTTTTATACCTTTTGTATATTTCAGTTCTTAAGGCTTAAAAAAAAAAGAAAAGAATAAAAAATAGGAAAAATGCTTTTTTTGTTTTGTTAATTTTTTTTTTTTTTGTTAATAAACATTTGTGTGTATGTTTGTATTTATAAATAATATAGTTAATATGTAAATTATATTTCTAATGTAAAAGTATGTAAAATAAAATTTCAAAAAAAACAAAAATGTAAAAAACAAGAAAAAAAATTGTAAAGCAGTTTGCGTGTTTTATTTTAAGGAATTTTCCTAACTGGTATACTAAATCACATCCTTATACTTATATGGTTATTTTTTTTTAACATTTTATTATTTTTTTTATTATTATCTGCAATACTTTGTTAATTTTTAACTCAAAAAAAGAAAAACAAAAATCAGAAGAAAAAATCTTTTATACTTTTATTACTTCTTTAAAAATTCTGCGCAACTCGCGAATTTAACCGTTTCTATTTAAAATTCTACCACATATGTAAATTTTTTTTTTATATATACAATATGAAAAATTACAATAAGAAAATAAAAAACAATTATTTTTGCTATGGGTTGTTTAATATTGACCTTAGCGTACATTTATATTTCTTTCTTATGTAGGTAATAAATGAATTCTGAATTTGGTAAATTTAAAAAAAAAAAAACAATAAGAAAATCTAGCCAACAACAACAACAATTGTAAAAAAATTCCTTACAACTGAGAAATTCCATAGAATATAATGTTGGGTTTTCATTTAAGAACTTCCAGTATAAAATAATGGTTTTAGAGATTTAGAGAAAGAAAAATTAAAAAAAAAAAAAAAATTTTTTTTTTGAACCGCGTTGGCTAAAAATTAAATTTTACATTTTTTTTTCTTACTTTCTCATTTTTTTTTTATTTTTATGCTGTTTAAGTTACGGTTTCTTGCAAAATTTTAATTATTAAATAAATTACAAAAGGATAAAGAGAGAAAATAGTCCTTAATATCGCTTATTTAATTATTTAATATAAAAAATATTTTGGGATAATTTAAAAATTTTTATAATCCAATTTAAAATTTAAAAAAAAAATTTATATTAAAAAAATAGTTAGAATGAAAAGAGAGAGAGAAAAAAAAAATGAAAACAAAAAATGAAATTTAGATGAAAAAAAAAAAATATTTTAGAAAATTTTTTATTTATTACGTAATAAGTGTAATTTTAAAATTTAAAAATTATAAAAAAGTTTTTAATAAAAATTAAAAATTAAAATTAAATAAAAATAATGTCATCAATTTTATTACCTAGTCTTAAAAATCTTATTAATAATATTAAAATTAATAAATAATGTCATTAATTTTTATTTTAAAATTTTATATAAAATATAATAAATTTAAATAATTTAAAAAAAAAATTAATAAAATAATTTATAAAATATAATATTAAAAATATGTCACAACCTCCGAAAAAAGGGCCACCTGGTGGTAAAGTTGGTGGAAAAAAAATGAATTTACCAGTACAAACACCAACAAGTAATTTAACTGGTGATGATCAAGGACCAAGTGAAAGAAATACACCAATTAGTAAAGAAAGTGCAACTGGTGGTGGTGGTGGTGGTGGTGCAGCTGGTAGCGGTACTGACGGTACAACAAAAGATGATCTAACAAATCAAAATGGTGATAAAAAAAATCCAGATAGTGGTGATCAAACACCACAATCAAAACCACCAAGTGCTGGTGCATCAATACGTGATGCATCAAATAAATTATTACATTGTGCTATGAAAGGTGAATGGACACCATGTGATCAAACATTAAAAACATTAGAAAAATATGTTATGAATGTTGGTGAAGAAGGTAATAAAACACCATTAGCAGGAGTTATTGATCCAGTAAGTTCTTATTTTATTCTTCTTAACAACAAAGAAAAGAAATTTTAAAATGTGTACGCAATTAAAAATGATTAATTTAGAGGAAAATTTTGAAATTAAAAATTTTGTTTGCCGAAAAGTATGCAATTTTTTTTTTTTTTTTTTTGAAAAAAAAATAGTAGGATCTTTAAATTTTAAAAAATTTTCAAAAGATTTTCAAAATTTCAATAAAAATTAAATTTGTTGCCCCATGAATTTTCGTTGCTTCTATTTATGCAAGCTTTCTATAATTATTATTGTTATAAATACGTGTATGAGATTGCATAAAACCGGGGGACCGGAATAAAATAATTTTAAAAATATTGTCATAATTCTATTAAATTTTAATTTGGTAACTTTTAAATTGTAATACTCTGTCTTTTCATTAATATTGTTATACCAGGGAAAAAATATAACACTCTGTACTCTTTAGTTTACATTGTTACCGGGAAAACAAGTTTTTTTTGTTTTTGTACATTTTTACAACATACTTCTATATGCATATAATAGTAAAAATATTTAATAAATTTACATATGTTCTTTTTGACAATTTGTACAGTTTCTAAGAGAGATGAGTCTTAAGGCATTATTATTGTTGATTTTATAATAATATATATAGTAATTTAATATTATAGTTACGATGGTGAAATATATTAAAATACATATGCAATAATATTTTATTATTTTATGCCTATATGTACATGTTATAACAGTAAAAAATTAAATATATGCACATATATAGGCATAATATGATTACATGTACAATTTATTTAACTTAAATAATAATTTTGGCGTACATCAAGATTTATGCATATGTATTTTCTTGGAATTTCCAAAAAAAAAAAAAAAGAAAATTCCATAGCAATTGATTAATATTTATGAAAGAACATTTTTTTTATTAATTTATTTGGTAAACATTGTTTTGTATGTAATATGTATGTTATTTTATTATTAATGGAGGAAATTTCTTAAAAGAAATTGAATATTAAAATTTTGAAATTTACAAAATTTCAATTTAATTTTATTTATTTTTGAATAATATACTAAAATATTATTACTAAAATTAAAAAAATAGGGCTTAAAATTTCTGATTTCCATCAATATTGTGGTCGATGAACTGTTCTTTATGCACAGTCAAAATAAATAATATTTAGGTTAAAAATGAAAATTTTGTAAATATTCCAAAGTATATCACAAAATATTTTCATATATTAAATAGTTTAAGTGTATGTACCTTTGTTTAAATTTTTTTTTTTTTGCATGATAAGGCCTATATTTTTTTTATATTGACATACATATATGAAAAATATTAATTATCAAGTCTTATAATTTTATTTTCCATATTAAATTTAATTATATAGGCCTACATAAAGATTAAAAACACTTTTTTTTTCGCGGACTTGTGTTTACAAAATGAAAAGGTCTTACTCAATATGAATTCTATACTATTAATTTTATTAATAAAGCCAAATAATTTTTAATTATTTTTACATAGAATTATTTAATTATTTCTGTTATATTATTTATTATACTATTATTGCTATAATGCTAGAGTTGACAATTCAAATAATTAAGTTATAATTTTAATTATTAATTAGCTATGTTTGATTTACTTTAACAATACTACAATGAGTGTTTACAAAAATGCAGATCTTTCGTCTTGATTATTGCTGAACAATCTTTTAAAAATTAATTTTTATATATACTGAATAAGTTAATTTTGACGTCAACTCTGCATTTTGGTAGACACCCTATGTATCAAATGGTAAAATTTATAAATTTTACAATAATCTAATTAAATTTTATGTTAACTGTTAAAATTCTCATAATTTTATAATTTTTTTGATTAATTTTTATTTATTTATAAAACAGAGAGTAAAATTAATTTACGCTTATTTTCCAAAAAAATTCGAAAGAGCGTCTTCTTCATTCTGATATCATAATAACGTAAAAATGCTCATAATAGTATTTATTTGCTCTGGTAATAATAGTATTCCTATTATAGTATTTATTTATTTTGAATGAACTCACTGGCGTGACAGTAGTTTTTAATAACAATAATGGCTTTATAATGTCAAAGTAAGCTTGTATGTTGGTATACCTATATTCTATAATATTATCAGTTTCTGACTAAATTTTCAAAAAAAAAATTCTTGAATACAATTTTTTTGGATATATTAAAAGCAAATTATTTTTATTCAACTATTTTCTGCTCTTTGTTTAAAAGTAAACCTAAATTTAATTTAAATAATACAAAAACCGTGATATGTGATATAAAATAAGCTAAACTATTAGTAATAAGTTAAGTAGATAATGCGAAAACAGAACTACAATATTAAATAAGAAAACCTTTAAATTTTTAAGACAAATCAAAATTTAAAACTGTTACAAAAAATTTGTTTCTTAAAATTATGGTGAAAAAGAATCTACTCTATCTGGCATTCAAATGTACTCATGAAGTCTTTCTGAAATATTATTGTATTGCACTACAGTTTCATTAAAGATATCTCACGTCTCGGGCCCAAAGTTTTTGAAGACATTCGTATTTCTTGTATCATGTTGGTTTATTATAAATTTTTCATAGTATTCATAATATTCACGGTATTGTCAGTATCAGGTTTCAACGCAAAAGCTCATGTTCAATTTGACATATAAGCCCTCTTTATGTTGTTTTTTGTTGTTGTTTAACCAATTTAATACTTTAAGTGTTATATATACCTTCAATCGGCGTTCTTATGTCAAGATGGTATAAATTCTTTATAGCTTTATTTTGTAGTGTTTGCATTTTTCTAAAATTCTACTTTGAATTCATTTCCCTCAATAAAAGCTCATAGGTCATTTTTTAATGAAATAAACAGAAGTATACGGACCATTTAATTGTATTAGGTAGGAAAATTCTTCTGTTCCAAAATATTCTACGTTATTTAAAAATATTCCACGTTATAATATTTAAACTATCTGTGTTGTTGTTATATGATCTGTTTCATTTAAGTGTTTGATTTAATTTTTATTTGATTTTTCCTTAGGTATAGTTGGATAAGTTCCCTCCTTTAAATTCACTGCCGGGGATGTCATGCTTTCTACAATTATCTACTGTTATTAAATGGGATAAAGAGTGATCATAAATATAATATTTTCAGGTTGCTCCATGTGTACCCAGTAGGCTGTTTTGCTTGCATAACTTGCTCTAGTTTTTTTAAATTTTTTTCAGAAGCTGTTGGTACTTTTGCCTAAAAATCTATTTGCGATTCCTGTATATATTATGAAATTCGCTCTTACTTTCCTTTTGTACTTTTACGTGCTATTTTTCCTTTTGGATAACATTCTGTTCCAAAACCTTCAAAGGTAAAATTTTGAATAATTTTTAAAAATTAATATTTTTTAAGCAGTCTATATTCAAGTTTTCAATTCCATCGTAAAGACGAAGGTCAATTAAAGTCGAAATATAAAACTTACAGTTTGTTTTCACTTGTTTGTAAAATTTATCTGTTTGCAGGAAATCTGGTTTAATACTGGTATTCGACTATACAAAACAACAAAACTTTATAAATACATAATAAATGTCATGAATTTTTCTTGAAAGCTACTCGGGTTGTGTATGTGCACAGTTTAATCTATATTTAATTAAGATGAAATATTACTAAATAAATTTATACTTAATATTACTTAATAAAAGAGCATTATTAATTGCAATTATTTTCTTTTTTTATTAAATTTAAAGGGAACAGGAATGACACCATTAATGTATGCTGTAAAAGATAACCGATCCACATTAATTGATAGAATGATTGAACTTGGATCTGATGTTTGTGCCAGAAATAACGTAAGTATAATAAAATGATAAGTAAAAGAAAAATAATTTATTTTTTATTGGTTTTATTTTTTTTTGTTCGAGTTTATTTATTACCAAATTAAATTGACATTATTGTAGTTATTGCTGTCAGTTTTCAAGAGATTATTAGAATGAATTCAATATTTTGTTTACATCAAAATTGACAATTACGCTTAATAATTGACACTTGTTATCATTTTGGGTGGTGAACTTTTTTTAAATAGTTTCAATATTTCATTTCAGTTAACTTACATTATTTACTATTCACCCTTTTTTAATTTTACATTTTATTGCAAATTTGGTGCATGTGAAAAACCAACATATGAATTTTCATTTAGTTTCATTCTGTACAACATACACGTGTGCATAAATATGCCCTCAAAAAATTCAGTAGTAAACGACATGACTTTGAAATTTTTACTTTTTTTTTGTAAACTTAAAATTTTCCTATATTTATCCTTCTACTTTACTTTCATGTACTATATTTCACCTATTCATGTTTGAAATGATTAATTGTAAAATTTTTAATAAAATAAGGTGCAACTAAAAATAGCAAAATTTAAAAAATATATAAAAGAAAAAGTACTTTTTAGGTGTTGGTCTTTAATTAAGAATTACTCTGCATTACGTAAAGTATAAAAAGAAGCATTTAATGAAAATCAAATTCAAGATGATTTTTTTTCCTTTTGTTATGAAAATTCTATTAGAAAATCATAAATTTTATAATTATTTCGTATATAAATGTAATTGTCAAAGTTATGCTATTTAAAGAAAAAATTTAGGTGTGAACACCAATAAAAATTAATAAGAAATCATATCGAAATTCACCTAATTTTTATAATTGACATTTTATATTGTGACAATTTTTAATATTTTACTGAATTATACATAAAATCTGATGTGGTCAACACATAACCGACCGTAATGTGTGTTGTCTAGATAAGTGAAAGTATTACAGAAAACTATAAAAATGCTTCTTGAACAGTTTTTTCCAATTTTTAGGTCGTTAGTAAGCTTTTAGTTAACATACCTAGAAATCCGCATCTCCTGAAAAGCTTGCCAGTTATTTTTGGTAACAACTAGAACTCAAATATCAAATTTCAAGAAATTTCATCAATCCGTTCCGTAGATATGGTAAAAAATGTAATATTGGCCTGCGGTTTGGTTTCCGAGCCCCGATCGTTCCAAAAAAATTTAATGTTCATTGTTTTAACATTCCAAATTAAAATATTAAATTTTAAGGAAATTGATTGATTATTTCTCTTTATATGAGTAAAAATCTAAAATTCTGGAAAAAAGTTTAGTTCCCAAAGCCTGAAAAATCTCAAAAGTTGATCAATTCGTGACATAGCCACAAATTCAACAAACTCCCATTTAAAATTTTATGGCAATCGGTTCATCCGAACTGGAGATACCCGCGTGCACACACAGACAGACAAACAAACCGATCGACCGACACCTCTCTAAATATAATTTATGTACGCTTCCCTACTATGGAGAAGTGTGTTCTTACCGAAAACTCAATTTGAGAAATTTGTTGCCATCACAAAACCTCCCTTATTGTATGCAATGAGGTTGGTAATATTATATAAATTCGAGTGAAAGCCAAATTTCCTAACTAGGGTCAAAAAAATACTAGGAATCGAATATAATAAAGGATTATACAAAGTGTTTACACAATTAAATTTTCATTCACAACAAATGTCGAGATTTACTATTAAGAATTTAAAAAAAAAAATAATTAAATTTCTAAAGTTTTCTGCCTAAACTACAAGGGATGAGCAATATTTATGTGAATTTTTAAAATTTTATTAAAACTAATAAAGAGAAGGAGGACTAAACTACATAAATGAATATCTTTAGGCACGTTTCCAGGAAGAACTACGTGAAGTTGTTGCTTTTACAAACTAAGTTAATGTCACTAAAACGATATTTACACACGTAATTTGAAAAAATACTAAATTGTTTAAAAAAGTTTTTGCCGAGATTATCGACTCAATTGCAAAAAATTGAGGCTTTTCAGAGAAATTTTTAAAAATTTCATTAAATTTAATGATGGTTGCACCCGTAACATAAAAACCTTATTCAATATAAAAAATTTTAAAAAAGTTCAAACGAGTCTGGAATAAACCATGAGGCAAATCATGTTAAATGCCCTTACTATATTGTAAAAAGCAGAATATTTTTGCAAAATAACCTCATTTATAGATTAGGAGTTTTCATATGAATTTTTTTTTAATTTCACAACAAAAAATACAGAGTATACAGAGTAAAGTAATTTAAATATCTGTAATACCTTATAGACCATCGAACAACCCTTTTTAATCATTCAAAAGCAATACAAAATCTCTAGACTGGTAAAGAAAAACTTTCCATTTTCTCATTTTAAATGATTTTTATCAGCATTAAATCTGTTCTCATAAAGAAAAAATAAAATAAAAAAAAAATAAGTGTTAATAAAATTTTCATAAAAAATTTTCCCTTCATTTTAATTTTTTTAATTTTTTGTTTTCAAATAAAAAATATGACACATTGGGAAAATTGAAATTTTCTTCTGAATGGTCCCATAAGTATATAGTATGATTGGAAATCTCGAGAAAGTTAATTTTGAATGTAGTGTCACAAATTCAGAAAAAAAAACAAACAAACGTAAAAAAGAATGAAAAGAACAATAGGAAAAATGCAAATCTTTTGCTATTTAGGACGACAAGAATAAACAAACAACAAAAAAAAAACAATTGTAGTAAAATTACATATAAAATGTAATAGTAAAGAAAAAGGATTTAACAAATTAAAAATTGTACATTTTATGATTAGCAGTGACCTTAAAATGTTTACACGCAAAATAACTATTTACAAGCCTCACCTGTTTTATGCGTAAATCTGATTAAATACCATAGTTTTTTTTTGTGTACATAAACTATAATAAATTTCAACAAAATGCTGTATTTTTTGGACATCAACAATGTACAAACTAATTTTTTACATTATAATAAACCTAATAGTTTGTTACTATATTAATAATTAGGATTTTCTACTTAGAATTCTCATATCAAATAAATGTGGTTTGTATGGTGCTCGCATATACACACTTTAATTATAATGCATGTGGACATATGGATCATACATAAATGAGCTCTAATTTTATTTTAAGCAGTTTTCCAAAAAGAAATTTAAAAAAATGAGCTTAATAATTTCAGTCCGTCCTATCGTCCGACCTTTCAGTTGTCGGACCCTCCATGTGCCTGTTTACAAATTTTTACACCCTTTAAGATAGAAAGCTTAAATTTTATATAAAATATCTTTAGTTGAAACTTATTTCTGTAAAAGAAAACTGCCACACTCCCCTCCCCCCCTTCCCTCCTTCTTTAAAAGTTATAGTCCCTCAAGAATATGAAAATGTTATTTTTATCATAAATCAATTTTAAACAAAACGGAATGGCTGCTTTTTTCTGAAATTCATATTTTTTTCCCAATTTTTGATACCGTTTTTCTTCTAGACCATAAGTTGTAGGAGTCTTGAAATTCATCCATCTTCATACACTCTCAAGTAATTACAGCTCTAAATTTGTAAAATTTGAATTTTCGGCATCTTATATTTCCAAAACTAAAAGCTTTTTCAATATGTTATAAATGCAGAAAGCCAACGGTAAATAATGCCATACCATTAAAAAATCTAATTACTTGTCTTCATTTTTTCTTTAAATTCACGTAATTAATCCTTGAGTTCATCATTATTTTAACGCTTCATTTAAATTCCATTTTTCACTCATCCTAAATTTATGCAATCTTTGGATTAAAATAATTTAAATAGATTGTTTTTAAAAGCAATATTTTGAATTATTGAAGGGAAAAGTGCTACTTTATAAACCATTGGTTTCACTCAACTTTGTTTCATTTTAAATATTACAGTTTTAAATATTGTTATAATTTTACTTTCATAATAACTTTATTTTATATGCTAATCATATTTTTAATTATAAATTTTATTTTATTTTCACATAGCTATATAAAATTTATATATATTTTTTTATATCTTTTTTATATAGGATAATTACAATGTCCTTCATATAGCATCAATGTATTCTCGGGAAGATGTTGTTAAATTATTATTAAATAAACGTGGTGTGGATCCGTTCTCAACAGGAGGGGTAAGTTTTATAATAATTTTTAATTGTATATACTTATACCGTATTAGTTCAAAAAGAAAACTGTCAGATCACTCATTTGTATATCATTTTACATTATTAAAATTATTATTTTTTACAACATAATTGCATGTACAACTATATACGTACACATACCCATGCATACACATGAATGTTGTTAAAAAATATTTGAAATTTTTTTAAGACTAGACTGTATAAAAAAAAATATTTTAGAATATAATCATAATCTTAATTAAATGTAATAATTACTTTATAAATGACACATAAGTTTAGACAAATTAATAATTTAATTATTCAAACACTACAAAGGTACTAAATCTGTAGTGACGTTACTTAGAAAGTTAATTAGAGTTCGGTAATTAGTATGTGTGTAGTTGAATGATTGTTTGTTTAAATCAAAATACTATTGTAATAATTATTTTAATATTTTTATAATGAATGCATATAGGTGCGCCGATTTTTCTCCGAATTCATAAATTTTAAATAACAAATTTGTTTTAAAATAATTATTTCTCACACTTTAGAAAAAAGAAAAATGAGATTTTAATGTATAATATAATAAAATAATAATGAAAATTATGAAATAGCGCATTGCAGGAATTGAGATAATTAAGAAAATTTATTTATTGTACGAGTAATAAATAATTGAAAAATTCTATATGAAGCATAGAAATTATAAAGTTCAAAAGTATTGAAAAATTTATTAATTTTATTTGGTAAAATTTCGGGTTTATTGAATGCAAGATAAGAGAGACTCTATTTTAGAGCTCTCTCTTTCTCTGTTTTCTTTTTCGAAATTTACACCATTTTGCGCTCAGGCATAATTAATAAATTGTAAAAGAACTGTTGAAATTTTAATAGCTTCTAGTCATTAAAGCTGAATTATTCATTTTTTTAGAATAAACAATTTTTTTATCCTACTCGCCTCCCTATAGGCTTTCATAAGAATTAACAATATTTTAAATTTCTTTCAATGCACAAGGTCTATATAAAAAATTTTGTAAGAAGTGATTGTAAATACCTTGTATTATTAAAAAACAGCATAATTTATTTATTATACATACTAGGTAAGGTTAGGTTGGGTCGATGCGCCTGCCGCAAGGTATACATAGGCCAGTAAGTCCCGTTGTGATACCGTCTCCTCCTCCTATTCGTCACGGCAGCTCTTGCAGAGATCGTTCTCAGGGCGGCCCATGCTTCTGGCGTGTTCACCAATAAGGCAATGACCCGTTATGACTCCTATCATAGATTCAATGTCTCTCCGGTGGATGTTATGCGTACTACATGCTTCATTTTTTTAATAATTGTGTTTTTATCCTTAAAGTATGCAATAAAACTGCATAATAGTTGATGAGTTTAATGCGAATTTATTACTCTTGCTTATTTTATATTGTTCTTTATAAATGGAATTTTTAAAAATTTAAATATTCTTTATAATATTGATCATTGATTGCAAGCATATTTATAATTATATATTAATCATTTAATAATTCAAAAAAACCCTTTTAAAAATGATCTTAGACTTAAATTATTCATTAATACAATTCACGCCATATTCCAATATCAAAATATCAAAGAGTCTATAACAATATTCAAATATTATTCTACATAATTATTCAACTTGTAAGTGTTGATGTAATGGCATGAATTGACTAAAACAAATACAAATTTCAAAAGTGACTGTTTTTTTTCACATTCAAGGAAATCATATATATATGTATATATATACTATACCACCTCTATACAAACTATATATAAAACCCCTATATATCTTCGTGCACCGTCTTTACCTTTTTTTATATATACACAAATATCGTAAGACTTTATTCTACAATATTATAATTGGGGTCGTGAAATATAGCTGCTGAAAAAATCCTTTAAATTAAATAATATTATATAAAATAATAGAAAGGAGTATATGTAAATTTTATTGTAATAATATTTTCGTTTACGTGTATGATTCTATTATAAGCACCGGAAGAATTATGTACATACATATACATATATATATATAATATATAGGTTTTTAGTTGTTCATGAAAATTATAGATTATTTTGTTAAAAAATAAAAAAATTTTTGAAAATTTTGTTAAACAGAGAGTTTGAACAATAAAAAAAAACAGAGCAAAAGCAATTTTCCGCAGAAATGTCAGAATTCATATAGAACACAAATATTAAAATGGAACTGCCAAGAATCTATCGAAATTACCGACGCGAATTTAACCGCCGGCAATGAAATATAGCTTACATTAAAATTTTACCGCTGCCGGTTTTATTTCACATTATCTGTTTCCATTACCTATCCTATTTCTAAAATTATACTTTCAGTTTTCAATATTTCTGGTAAAGAGTTATATAAATGAGCTGCTTTGTACAATAAGTTGTACTGTGAGTTAGTTCTTGTGTAAAGGGGCAGACACCAACGTTTCACAAATTGTAGGTTTCCTTGACATAGTTAAAATTTATTTTGCAAATATTCAGGAAGTAGACCATAATATTGAGCTTTGAAAATGAACATTAATGAACTGAAATTTAACCATTGATTTATATATTCATCCATTTCAGTGTCTTGAAATCATACTTGCAATACTAGTTCTCGGCTAATGTAATGATACTCATTGTTCTGTTTTGAAGTTTTTGCGATTTGTTCCTCTTTCCCTAGCTACGTCTAAATAATATAGATGGGCAATAGTCTATATGTGGCAGAAATATACTATTATATAACATTACAGAACATTTTTTGCTCAATAGGGGAAGTTTATTTGACTTGTTTTTTCGAAATATGTTTTATAAAGCAGCCAATAATTTTAACGTTTACCAGCCTATTTACCCTAAGATAATTTGTTGCGCAGCTGTTAATTTTGTTGTAATAAATTTTCATTTGAATTCCAAATATTCTCCACTTTATTGCCAGAACTCACATTCAAATCTTCTTAGATATAAATTGCAACTTAATTAGTTTGTCTTAATGGAAATTTCTTCATGCAACTGCAGAACAGATGGATGACGTAATCAAAGGAACGAGTTAAAGGCAGAAAAATTCATTAAAAAAATTTTTCTCCTCGAACTGGACTCGAACCAGTGACCTACCGCTTTCTAGGCGGACGCTCTACCAACTGAGCTACAGAGGCATTAATTAGTTTGGTTTTCAATATTTTCTATTGAAAAATCCTTGAATATTTAAGAGCTATATGTAAGTATATTAGTAGTGGAATATGAGAACCGTAGGGTAAATATTTAAACATATATAAACACCGTGTGAACATAAAAAAAAATAAGTAATCTGAAAATCTATTTCTTTTACTTCAATTTTACTTTAGTAAAATATCCTTTTGCATATGCATATCATGTACCTTTATAGTAAGAAAAAAAATCAGAAGAAAAATAAAAAAATTATAAAAAGAAAAAAAAATTTTTTTCACAATGTTTCCGGCATAATGTAGGTCACTTTACCTTGCGTGTATTTTTAACTGGTTACTCTTATTTTCATCAACTTTGAAAATTTAGAAAAAATATATATATATATATATATATATATATATATATATATATATAGAATTTTGAACACTTTATTTATAAGTTTATTGAGCCAAATTTTCATTTTTTTCTTTGTACATTTATATATTTATTATTTATTTATATACACAGGTACTTACTTATATACACTCTTAGACTATTAAGAATAACGATAATTTAAAGTAAGAAACCAAAAAAAAAAACAAAAACAATTATAGCTTTATACTAGACTTTATAGTTGTACAAAGGAACAATAACAACAATAACAACAAATTAAGTGAAATATTTTCATTTTTATGTAATCCGGGTAACCTGATTTTCTTGCGAGCATGAGATTTTTAATTAAAAAATCAATTTTTCATATCATAAGTGTTATACTTGTATTTTTGACAAAATCAATTTAATTTGAAATAAATGTTAAATTAGAAAATTTTATTTTTTTTTAACAAATTTTCTCATTTTTAAATTTTTTCTATTTTTAGTAATATAATTGTTATGAAATTGTTATTGTAGAAAAATTCAGTATTCTTATATCGTATGTAAATTACGATATAATTATGAGTATTATTACAATTAATTTTTAATTGTTTAAGCAATGAGCAATGAGTAATTGTAAAAATATTATTGAAATTTTTAATAATTTCTTTGTTCCGAATTTGTATTATGTACGTATGAGTTTATATGTGTGGGTATCTGTGATATAGTTAATGATTTTAGAATTTGCGTTATAACAATTAGAAATTTACGTCGCTTTAATAAGTGTTCAATTAGTTATTGAAGTAGCGCAAATAATGACGCTATCACTTTGTATACACGAAGTTTTAACATTGTGCCTTTAATATTTTCTGCGATATGATCGAATAATTACCGACCGCATTGTACACAATAGGGTAGTTCATGTAATGGCACCAAATCCATAGTACTCAATACACATTACGATCGGTTATATGCTGTTCACATCAGATTTATTTTAAATATTACGACAGCTAAGAGATGTGGGATGTGAAATCTATGCTGCTTTAAGAAAAATCATGGTGTTTAGCAGATTTTTGCCAGCTCAATTTCATTTATTTTCCTTAAGTTCTAAATTATGTAAGAATTCTTTTACGTCATATAGAGATCATTCTATATAGAGATCATAATAAATTGCCGAAAACTGCCCTACTTCCATATGTAACACATGTAGTTGCAGCACTTGTACAATATTCATTTAATATATTAGCTTTCCCTATAGGTACATGTATATGCAATTAAAAATATATCAAATTTAGTTATGCACAAGATTTAAGCAAATAATTTTGAATTTCGATATAGTGAATTAACCCCAATATAATATATTTGAAAGATAAGACAAATATAGTACATCATCCATATAGTTCATTGAAATATTATGATTCTAGTTTTGTATTATGAACAGATGTAAATATAAACAAAATATTTTGGTATTTTGAAAACAATAATAAAGA